GCAGGCTGGAGTAGGCATTTGAATTGCGCTTAAAGTCCCGGCCTGCTGCTTGCTGCTCCTTGCTGCTCATCTTGGTGCATTGCCGGATGTCGCAGCTGATTTGTCCTGCCGGCAGTGTTGAGAAGCTTCAAAGTCGGTCCTGCCAAGGATAAGAAAAGTGTTGTTTAAGACCACACATTTGCAATGGAAGCTAATGAGGAAAATTTGAGGAACCAACAAGTTGGAGAAAGAAAAAAAAAAGTCTGTTGGTTTCAAGTGGCAATTAAGTCATTTTCTCTTTGCTTAGATGGTTTTTTTTTTAGTAACATGTATCTTACAAAAAAGCTGTGTAGTAGTAATTTATTTAATTGCATTAAGAACTAAATATGAAACTGCGAAGGTGAAATCAGCATTCTTTCCGGTTAATTGCAAAACATTTTTCAAGTAAAAGTTTGAAAAGTGTGAAAAGGTTAATGGAACAACATTTTAACGGACTCTATTAAGGCCCTGTATTATTCATTAATTTCAAAATCTTTCGATTCGAATAACTTCAGCAAGAATTTATGATTAATACAGAAAGTCATTTTAATTTGATTATTGCTGGCATAAAAGTTGAGGTCATAAAATCATTCAACTCATATGAATGCAATTTTGTTTAAAATAAAAAGAAATATTCTCATACATAATAAATGGCATACGGAACATTTTAAAAGTGAAAACAAGGAACCACCACTTGAAAAGTGTGTCGCATTGAGAAATCTCCTTAAATGGTGACTAATTTGAGAATGACTAATGTTCATTTGGTTACCGATCGATTGAACGGATTTATCAATTTAGTGTTTTTTTTTATTTTTAACCAACAAAAGCAAGTCAATTGATGTGGCTTCTAAAACGGGCAACTAGCTAGTACTAATTCAAACGAGTTCTTTCGTTAGAAAGTATACAACTTAATAACCGAATCGAAAAACGATAATTAGCGAACAAGAATCTCAATAAAATTGTGCTAAATAAAGCGATGATTCGCAAACGAAATTCAAGTTAGACAAATTCAAATTGTTTTTATGAGTAATCCAACCTTCTCGTGGAGTTCAAAGCTGTATAACATTTAATTGTGTGTACCCGCGATAAGACTTGCTCCACATTAAGTACAGATTACGTCAAGTCCAAAAAGGTTATTTTTTTTCCGGAAATCCAAGATTCTTTCACAGATGATAGTAAAGCCCTCCTGCTACTTTTACGTTTGTAAAAAAGGCACAATCGAATCAGAACCACCGATTGGGACAGGTCAGTGGGAAGATCACTTTGCATTAAATGGAAAAATGCAATCAAATGCAAACAAGCGCGTGCTCTGGCGTTTTTACGATTGTTTGCACGTGAGTGAATCGCGACAATAAAAAATATGAAAAAAAAAATCTACGCCTGTCAATGGTCGAGAAAAAATATGGAAAAATGTTTAATAGTAAAAAAAAAAAAAAAAAAAAAAAAAAGTGAGCAAGTGGGCAAGGCGAAAAAATAAAAACAGTAGGAAAGAGCAGAGCTCATGTTCATTCAACTGATCAGGTGAATGTACTTCCGTTAATAATTTGTTAAGGCACGATATAAACAATCAAAACGGAAAGGGAGTGCTGGAGTCTAGGCCTTAAAGGGGAGATCGTTGGCACGTTACCTCGATTCACGTCAAAACTGTTTTATATTCGCTGGTTTTTGTTTATTTGTATGAATACCCTTGAGTGATGGAGTTTATTCAACATTAAAGAGGAGACATTTCCTTGTTGGCGGCATCAGGTAGTGAATCGATATAGCGAGGACCAAATAAACGTGGTCCTGTGGTCAGGAAAGCAAAGCAAATGAAACGAGGCAAACGGTGGTAGTTTTCTATTGCATGTGGCAATGTTGTGTTTAATCAAAAGCAGCACATAGTAGTCATGGAAACCGGCGAGCTCAACTTGCATAATTTCGTGCAGTTTGTTAACTGTTTACCGGTAATGCATCTAAGGAATCTAACTAAGGAATGCAAGTAGATATGTATATACAAGTAGATAGACTGACTTTTCACAGACAAGTGCACATTTCACGAGCTATCCAATGGGCTATTTACATAACTATATGGCCAAATCAATAGCTGCTAGGGCATCTGAGACTCGACTTGGCCAACTCCTTATCAGCTTCTGCTCTGCGATCTCACTGAATCACACACTCTGTGAAGCTTGGGGTCTGGTTTAGCTTTGATTTTATTTTGCATACGCTTAGCCGTGACCTTCGCAGCAGCCATAAAATCTCCGAAACTCACACACGCGCACGCGCACAACCAGTCTTGCACTTCTTTACCTTTTGGTAGTACACATGTATGTATCCATGTGCGAATGCGACATGGGAAGATGGTGTGGCGTGGCGTGGCGTGGTGGTAATAGAATGGGCAGCATCCACACATTAATTGGTGGCCCAGAGGTCAAATTATTTAGCGAAGCAGCGCCATTGATCGCAAATTCACATATGTACACAAACCGATGCATATACATATGTACGTATGCCTATGTATGTATATGGCAAGCAACCACGTACCGTTAAATTTCGCTGGCGCTCTCGTTTTCTGGCATTTCTCGCATTTTCGCACCGCACACAGAAATGTAAACAAAACAATTAGAGCTGCCGCCGCAGCAGCAAGTGCAACTCACAAATCGATCGGCAACTCTGGCGAAGGTCACCTCGCCAAATGTTGCGGCTAAAATGGCAACTCCCAGGTGCGGTGCACTAATCGCCAAACAGCGCTGCCCGCTGGCCAACTTGTTTTCCTTTTCTATTCGTGGAGAGGCTTGGGGTGTGCAATTACAATGAAATTGACATTCACCAAGCAAATAAAACTAGTTAATGCTGCCACGCACATACATATACATATATGCATGTGCACACACACGCGCGCAAACTGGGGAGCTGGCTCCATTGTGCGTGAGCAGCATGTCTGCGTGTGTGTTAGTGAGCGACTAGGGTTGCAACTTATGCTGAACGCGAGATGCGAGGCTCTCAACGGTTCGATCTGCGATGCGGGCAGGTGCCGCAGCCCTGGCACAGTGAAAACCGGCTAGCAGTAACTGGAAGTGGAAAGAACTACCCCGACATGCAGTGAATACGCTGTTTATTCAAGTAGCTTAAAACACCATTATAACTACTTACAGATTTAATGATTTATAAAAACTGTTTCTTAGACGGACAATGCAGCAATGTATCAGGTATATGAATAAGGCTTAAAAGGCTATTTAAAACCTTATTCACTTGTAATGCGCTTAAATGGGTTTAATGAACTCCGCGAATGGGGCAGCGAATTACAAGTGATTAATGCAAATCTGTAAGGGGTTGACAGTAACTTCTGTGGATCAGTCACAGACTAGCTTAGCGCAAGTTCACTGTACTTCAGCTATCTACCACCATGGCAACTACTCTTGTAAAACATCAAACGTTGAGATCGGCACGTTTTTATGCAAGTTCTTCGTAGGCAGCTAAGTGCAGCAAGTAAGGGGTGCGGCAATCGCATTCGATCCCCCTTTTCGGACTTGCATATGAGTAATGCAGTCAATAAAGTCCCACTGAATGCTACTGCGCCTCCAATTGAGTTCAATATTTAAGGGAAACACTGGGTCAATTGCTAAACAAACGTGTACACCCTACAGATACATATATCGATATGGATATAGAAATTCTGAACACACTCGCAGTCCAGATAGCGGGAATTCGTTATTTGTTTAGTTTTGCATTCTCCTCTGGCAGGCGGAAGAAAGAGAAAGAGAACGGTAAAAAGCCCGCCCTGCTTTTGTTTTTCTTTTTTTTTTTTTTGCGCTGTTGAAATTGTATGTATTTGCAAAACATTGCCAACACACACACAGACACACACAGCCACAGGTTATCCAGAGTTTTAAATGAATAACCGTTCCGAATAAAAAATAAACGCTGATTGGGCTTTTGCGGTTCGCTGGGGAATACCTTAATGGGTGGATTGGTCATTCTCTTTAGAAGGTAGTGAGGTGGGGTAGAGGGAGGTGGAGGGACAGCGCACAGCTGTTTCCAGCGACTGACCCGAAAAGAAAATGTGAAAAATGGAATGAAGCCAAGCGCGTATGCGCAGCACGCTCGACAACCGAAATTACGGTGTGTACTTGTGAGATTGAGATTTTCAGATACGTGTCGTGCTCTCTCTGCCCTCCCTCCCCTTTTGCTCTATCTATCTAAGCAACGCTCGCTGAACGTGTGTGTGCGTGCGTCGCTTTGTTTCTCACCGTACAAAAAGTGTTTTTTCGAAGAAGATTCCAAAATGGAAAGGTAGCGGACTGGAAGGGTTTTTGCGGGGGCGGGGGGAAATGGTCACTGCTTGCCACACCACACTATGCTGCACTTTCTGTCCCGCTCGCTCCCGCCCACACTCCGTAAAATGCAGCAGTAGCAGCAGCAGCACCACACACACACACACACTTGCACTCTTCCTTTGAAATACTCGCAGAATATACTCACACACGAGCGCGCGTTTGGTAATTTTCGATTTTACATATAAAATTAGCCGTAGCTTCGGTTCGGTTCTTCTAAATTTTGTTCACTAGCTTCTGCACTTCTTGGCGTTGGAACTTGTGTGTTTTCCGCGACCAGAGCTTCATTGGAGCTCGCCTTCGAAGTTCGAACAGCGCACACGACTTCACGCGGAGAGCTGAAAACGATTGCTTGGATACCAATATTTTGGTACTTTTGCGTAGAGCTGTCAAAACATCGATGCCACTATCGATAGTATCGAACGAGCATGGCGATGATATCGAGATAGTTGTGTGCAGTGGAAACAGATTGTTACAAGATAATAGCCTAATCTCATGGGGCACATCCCTTGAAAACCGTTTGGATTTAAAACTAAGATAAATTAAATATTTTAAAACCGTTTGGAAGAGGATCTAATTGAATGCATTAATAATTGCCACCCATCTAACAATATGCATTATTAAATTATGAATTTAAGACAATAGATTTTTCCCAAGAGACAAAATAAATTTTTAACATTTACATATACATTTATTCGTATTTCGCGAGATGCATATAGTTGTGTGTATACCATACTATCAGCGGCTTATAAACATGATCAACAAAAATACATACATGTGTTAATAAGAGTACGATAACAAGAAATACATAAGTGATCTGCGGTCGTGCCGGAGCTTTGATACCCTTTTCAGTGCGAAATGGAGCTGCTCATTTATATAAGGTCTTTTCAGCGTATATAATGTCTGGTCTAAAAGAGATTTGCTCGGACACAAGGCGATAGTTAGTAACGACAACTCACAACCGTAGCTAATGTAAAAACGGATAGCTGCAGTTGGCCAAGTACTTAGTAGACGATTAAAGATATTGCATTAGCTAATCACCGGATAATTTGAACTTCGCTGTAGTAGTTTGTGTGGGTGCTATCAATCGATTCGCTTAACAACTAGCTGGTAAACTCTGTATGATGTCGATATGCGCTTCAAGAAAGGAACGTGCGCACAAATCCCTTGATGTCTGCGCGGCACATGGGACAATTGGCCACACTGGGGGCGCATTGGTTGCAGGTAGCTGTCGGGGGAATAGGAAATTAGCTACAGCTCATGGTACATGATAGGTCAGCGACTTACCCAAATGGCCACAGGGCAGGAACACCACGCCAACCTCCTCGTCCAAGCACACCTTGCACAGGCGTGCATCCTTCAACTGTCGGTTTTCCTCCTCCAGTGACAGGTTTCCATTCGGTGTGGCCACCGACATCTTTTGTAGTTCGTCTGTGATTTTGGAGATATTCGCAACTGGAGCTGCCTGTGGTTTGGCTGGGATGGAATCGGCTCCCGATACTGGCACAGATGCTGCCTTGCTAGTAGTGGCCTGACATGGTTCAATAAAGGGAGCACTTGGCTCGGGCGGCTCACGCACCTCCAGTGCAGCTCCTGCGCCGGCCTCGTCGAAGATGGCATGCAATAATTCGTCCAAACTGGCGAAGGCGCAGCCGGAACTCAAGATCTTGCGCTGGATGGCATTGCGCACAACTCCTCCATCGATACCCAAGGCTAGCGCCTCCTTGGCTGGCGCTTCGTCCATCAGTACGTCTGCCTGGAGCGATGGGGCTGGAGCAGTGGCTTGCGGGGAACTGGCGTTGGCAGCCGTTGTCGCGAGCACTTCGCTTACATAGGCTGGACCCTTGGCCAGCAGAACGAACTGACACTTTGGCGACCACTTGGCGTGCTCGAACCACGGCTCATCCTCCTTCTGCCACGAGCGCAATCCAATGTTGCAGTGGAAGCAGCGCACCTGGTCGCCTATTTTCTGATAATATAAACCAGCCTGGGCCAAAGCAGAAGCGGGCTGAATATTGGTAATGGGCCAATCGGAGAAGGTTCGCATTCTGGCGTCCACACAGGCGTACTTTGGACGCAGTGGCAGGGTGGTGGGCTGGATGCCCAACTCATCTAGGTTCTTTCCGGTGGCAAACTCTATAAGTGGCCCCATTTGCACACGAGGACATTGTGGGAAAAAGCGCTTGTGCTCGTCAAAGGCGTTGTCGTTCTTCTCCCATTTGGCAATCACTCCATTGCACCATACGCACTTTACGTGATCTAGGCGGTTCAGGTAGTAGAAACCAGCCTTCGCCAGAGCCTGCGGCGTAATGTTGGGATTCTGAAAAGATGGTGACATTTTTAACTAAAGTTGAACTAGATTTAAAATTATTCAGTTGGAAGAATTTAAAATTACTATACAATGATCTTCATTTCAAGTTTATAATGATATTTGTAAACATATATCTCCATTCTCTTCGTGGAAACTATGTTCAACCAAGTTTGACTAATTTCGAAGAACTAGTTTTTTCCCAACTGATTTCCAAACATCTTTCAGCTGAATTGAGTTAATTAGGCAGCTTACATATTTCACAAGTCATTTCTTGTTTGTATACAAACAAACGTTTTAGAGATTATTTCTACTGGGTTTTCCCTTATTTCTTATTTACGCTACATTTTAACTACGTAAACATACTTACATATGTACTTAAAGTGAGCTTGAAACTGAAACCCTATAGTGATTACAAAGAGTCCGCTTTGGTGAATCACCAGAAGCAAGCGACACCAGGTCAGAGTACTCACCGGCCAGTCCTTGAAGGTTTCCAAGCGATTGGCCTCCAACAAGAGATCGGGACAAGCGCAAGACTCAGGGCTGTCCACCACGCTGTTGCCCTCCTTGTCGCTCTCCTGACTCCTCGGAACATTGCCGCAGTGATTCGGAGCCAGAACCATGGAGCAGATAGGCGAGGAGCGGCGATGGCGCTCCGCCACCAGGTCGCCGTACTCCCAACGGTCGATGCGCACGTGGCAGAAGTGGCACTCGGCCTCCAGCCAGTTTCCCGTGGCAAAGAAACCATTGGCCACCAGATCCTCCGCGGAAACGGGGGCATTCAGGGGCCATTCCCCAAATGTCGCCAGGCGAACGCTCTCCAGCTCCATGTGCTGCTCCGTCATCGTGGCGCGTCTGATTTGGATCCCAATGGATCCACCAATGATGTAATGCCACCAAGGGAATCACCAGCGAGCACAGACGAAAATGAAAACAAGACAGGGTAAGAATATAAACTTATTGTAGCGATGTAAAAACATACATCGATGTTTTTCGATACACCTTAATGTCTCATCGATGACACACCGTCTTAATTTAAACTGCTTAGCGAAAGCAGTGCAAGCAGTTAGCTCGATATTCGTTATATATAAAACCAAGAGGTTTCCAGGTATTCATTGAGTGTCATATAACAGCCAACTTTTTTAACAGCTGTTCAAGCAACGACAAAATGAATCTAAATCTGTTGTTTATATTTTGTACGTTATTTATTCATATCGAGTTCTTCAAGCACTGACATATTTATATTACCACAGTGCTCTGCGCCGCGCATGGTCAGGCGGAACTCTCCGGACTACTAACTGCCCTCCAATATGTCGGACTCTACTCAAATGGGAAAACGGATTCCCTGGGAATTTCTCGGGGCCAGTGCCATTATAGCTTCAAGACATTTGCCCTTCTGGAGGAGCGGCACACGTGTGCGCCGGATGACAAGCACATCCTGCACCTGACCGAGCTGCCTCCGGTTCGAAAGCCCCCCATTATGATCAAGTGCCTGCAGCGGGATCCAGGAAATGAGACAGATTCCAAGCCCGCACTGCTAATAATGCGAAGTGCCGAGGAGATAGTGAATCTGCTAAAGCCGGTGGGCAATGCCACCAAGCGCCACGAGCCGGGCAATTGTGTGGTTGTCCACTTTTGCACCGCAAGCAGCTTGGAGTGCGCTCGTGTGGCTCCGGTGATAAACCTGCTGCCCCATTTCTTTCCCACGCTGCCCATCGCCTATGTGGATGCCTATGAGTATAGTCGCTTAAATGCAGAGATCGGCATCGTTTCGCTGCCCACACTGATGATATTCCACCAGGGCAGGCCGGTAATCAAATACGATCCCTCGTGGAAAGACTCGGAGAAGCGCAGTTTTGCCAGGTTCATTATGCGTCACACCAATGTGAAGACTGTTAATCCACAGTCCATTGATCCGCTCATCCTCCTTCGCTCAGAGGTCGAGCCGCTGTCCCGTGAACCCATTGTGGAGACGGATTACTACTTGGGCTTGGCTTGGGCCTTTATACTCGCCTGTCTTGCCAACTTCCTGCGTAAGACGGCCATCTGGAAGCAGGTGGTGGAGATGGTGCAGCGCAATTGGCGGGAATCCGAGGAGACGCAAATGGAGATGGTGGACTAGTCAGTTAATAAGTTGAATTCTCTTTAAGTCGCATAAGTAGAACACATTGGATTTACTATTATAATGTAATTACCATTTAATTAAATTCACATCAACATTTACTTGGGCCTTACGAATTACATGTATTGGGGAATTGGTAATTGTTTTCAATCGTTCGGAGCCTTCAAATCGCTTGTGTTCATTTGCACGTTAACTGGCATCCATTATTTAAAGCTTAGTGGCTAACAAAATCTAGAAACTTGAGAATTAATCAAATAATTCAAACTTATAACTACGTTTTCATATATATTCCATTACTTTCATTGAATTTTTCGATTAGGTGTGAGAGTGTAATGATTTCGGCGTTGAATAGTCACATTTCTGTTAAGTAAGTGCAAGCAAGTTGATCTATATCCTGCGTGGGCATCAACAGTAGCTTTAACTTGTACAATTTTTAGTGTTGAACTGAGGGGTCGACTCACGCAGGATATGACACGACATAACTAGTTATGAATTATGTTTGTTAAAAATATTTGAAATGGTTCTTCAGCTATAACATAAAGATGCTCTGGAACAGAACCCAACGCTTGTTTCCCAGTGTTTTTGAGTGTGCGGTTCGGAAGATGTTGGCATAGAGGTGATAACGCTGCTACTACTGCTTTTTGCAGCGCTTGCCTGCCTTGGAGGAGCTGGCCGCCTCGTCGTCCGTGTGATGATGCTTTACGGCGCGCTGTTGGCGCCTCGGATGGGCGGCATAGGGATGTGGATGTATGCTGGTGGGGGGAGCAGAAACAGATACAGATAGTCATTAATTCACAGAAACGATTCTTAAAAATAGGCATACAAAACGAAAGGTACACATAATCATTCGTACACAGGCCAATTCGAACGCAAGTGAAAATTTAATAACAGGAAGAGAAGGTCAAAGGAGCAATGATGGATGATGTAGGCAAGCGAGTGATGGATTCGTAGGATTCGCGCTTAGTGCCGCTAGTGGTGGCGCAGCAACAGCAGCAGCAACATGGTTAAAATTTTGATTATCGTCGATGGCCAATTGGGCGTCGTCGCGTAGTGTGTTAAATCGTCGAGTGTGGCTCTCGCAGATTGTGGTCTACATGTTAAACGGATAGGCGATGCTCTTTCGGGCGGGTCAAAATGCGAGTATGCAGGCAGAGAGTTAGATGTGTGTGGGAAGGTGCGGCCTTACACGAAGCTTGCGGCCGTAGTGTTGAGCTGCCGGCACGGAGATGTGGTGTTGCTGCTGTTTGAAGTTCGAAGTTCTTGTGGCGATGAAGCGGAGCGTAGCGTTGGTGGCGCCTTCGGTTAGTAGAGTGCATGTGGTTACGTCGAAGCCAGCCGAAAGCCGAGTTTCTCGTCGTTGACTTGATTACTTATGATATTTATCTGGATTAGCATAGGTTTCGGTTTATGTATTTGGTACTGTATCCGCTCTACTTGCGGTGGTACCGCGAATTATAAAGACGCCAATCTCTGCATGATTTGGAAAGTACAAAATGTTGATGGAGAAGAGAAGAGAGAGCGATATGTCGTTAATACACTTGGGTAAATGGTATATTACAAGATCAAATCGTTGCTACCCAGGAAGTCCAGTAGAGTTCGAAAACAAACAGTATTGGTTTCAATAAATCAAGAACGTTGTTATTAATGCGTCGTCAACAATTGACCACAATCGGACCACAAAACCCTTGCATCAAACTTCGGCTGTCCGAAGACGGTTTTGGTTAGGACTATACAAGCAGATTGATATGAGGTACGAAGCTGACATAGTCTATGTAACTAGGTTAATCCCGCATTGCCGGCTCCAGCCGAACGCAACTAAACAAACCTTGGAGAAGTGGACACCGTGGCCAGCGGCGAGGATGGGGGTGTCCTTAGTGGGCGGCGCGGCGTGGCCAGGCCATGCCCATTTCGCAGATACGAACGACGAGAGCTCACGTAGTTATTGTTGTTTCCGTTGCTTGTATCGTAGGTTGCTGGCGCGGATGTTGGTGCTGCTGCTGCTGTTGCAATGTTGCCACTGCCACGTCGATGTCGTTGTTGCCGTAGTATGGAATCGAGTCGAAGAAAAGTTGGAAAAGATTACAACAATACTTTTGGGGGTCGGGACTATGCTAGTTGGCGATCCAGTTCATTCAACGCGAAGCTTTTTTTACGTCGTGAGTGGGTGAGATCATGGCGAACGAAAGGAGTCGTGGGCAAAACGAAAACTGAACAAACGAAAGATGTTGAGAGCTTAAGTTGCCGCCTACCTCTGTGCATTTTATGATTTCGATTCGATTCGATTCGTTTCGTTTGAACGCAGTTGGGAATGTGATTAGCAGAAATTTATAGTATGCAATTCTGTTTCTGTTTTATCGGATAGTTAGTAAAATATACTGTATTGACTTTAGATTTAGTAATTATATCTGCAAGTAAATACAAATGTTTCAATTTAGCAACAGTTGTGTGAGAGGAGTTGTGGTTAGTTGGGGGAATCTTTGGATCGGGCTTCAGCAAATGCTATTCGGCTAATCCTACACAATCACGCGCACGGTACAGGGACTCGGATGTGGATGTGACTTTATCCCTTACACTCACCTGTTCTGCGGTGCCGTTGGCGCAGTGGAATAATGGCGGCCCGCTGAGGAGCGAACCGGCGGCTGCTCCTGGATCACACAATCGTCATCTTCGTCGTCATCCTCCACCGGTTCAATGGTCAACGTCGAGGTGTGAGCCGGTGGACGGGCGGGCATGATGGCCTGCATCCCACCACCACGATGGCCAGACTGCACCGCTCCGCGTGAAGCTCGCGAGGTAAACTCCCTGTCAAACTGCTCGGCTTCCTCCTCCTCCAGATTGATGAACTCCTGTCGCTCCTCCAGTTGTCCCGAACGCATGTCCTGCTCTTTCTCAATAATGTGAGCTCGCTCGCCAATGTGGTGACCAATGGCCATCTTCTTCAGTCCAGTGCGCGAGTCCTGCACCGTCTTGCGGGTCTCGCGAACGCCTCCTGGTCCTGTTTTGGTACTAGTGCTGGCCTGGTAGATCTGTGGACGCCCATCGGGACCCGAGGACATGGTCATCACGGTGCTCTGGCTAAAGCAAGCGCCTGAATTGGCACCAATATCTGCAATACAATGGTTTTAGATGGGGCTCTTCAATGCAAAAGTCCATCGAATACTCACCAGCGTTCAACAGGCGATTGAAGTTGGGCATCATGGGCATGCCGAAGAGTCCCATGGCTGGCATGGCCGGCATCTGCGGACGCTCCATGAGGGCGTTCTGCTGGAATCCCTGGTCGAAGGGCGAGACCTGCATGAAGGGATCGGGCATGAAGCCGTTCATCAGGCGGTTCATCGAGCGCATCTGCATGTTCATCGCGTTTATGGTGTGGCTCATGTGGTTGCTGCAGAGTAGAGACAACTTGGTGAGTAACTTGGTGATACTTGACTGATATTCGGGGATTACTGGGGCTCCATTTGCGTACGGTCACTGGTTGATTTGCTTTTACGTTTTTGTTTCATTATAAACTTAGCCGAAGGGGTTTTAAACACAGCGAAACTGAATGATTTGTGGCCAGATAAGTGATAAAGGCAGCGTAGCCTGCCATGTTTTGCTATATGATAGAGGCTCCGATAGGCAATTCATGGGTCACTTTGCGGTTGGGCTTATCTAATGGCCCAGTGACAGGGGGAAACCTTTGAAATAACGCCTGCTTGCGAGTGCATTTTCCCCAATTGCATTTCCCTGCGGTCGCTCGATTCAAATTATCGATTATTACGTCTTCACTTCACGCATGCTGCACACACACACGCACACACACACATACACACGCAAATGCACACTCAGATGGTTACCGTTCATTTTGGAACGCTATTTATTGGTAATTTTTGGGCACGCATGTTTAGTTGGCCTGGTTGTGGGGCTTATGAGCCAATTATTGATTTACACCTGTTTTCGCGATTATTTTGCTGTCTTTCCACGTCCCAAAAGGGTACATTAGCTGCACACGTATGGAAATATAAATGGGGCTTCTGCAGGTCGAGCCGCATTTTTCCAGTTCCTGCGGCATGTAATACTTACTGTACTAACCCAAGATCGTCGTCGAAATCGCCCATCAACGCTCCAAATAAAGACATTTTCCTGGCTTGTGTTGGCTTGCTGTTGCTGGAATTTTCTTCTTTCCGTATGCAGAATTTTCACGAATATTTTCTTTGTCAGCGTGCCCGTATCTTGCTGGCTAAAATATACCAGCGGCAGCGACAACTTAAATATATACTTGTTCTAAAAAATACCAAAAGCCGTTATTTTTGAAAACGGAATCGTTTTAATTCTTCTAACTATTTGGATTTTAACAAATGCAAATTTCTAATTTAATTATTTTAAAAATATGCACAGAAACTTGTACTTGCTTCAACGATTGTGTAAAGTATAAAATGTATTGTTAGTTACTAGGAACTTTTCCCTTCCTCAAGGCAAACTATATTTACCTATTCCCACGAGTTAATAATGTTATTTACAAATAAATCATAAAGAATGCCCCATACATTCCGATGAAATGGCTATATAAACAAGGTATTTTAATTAGGAAACCCAGTTAGACTTTGCGCACGTATATAAACTTTTAAATATATTATGTGTTACGGTTTTTAAATGTTCATGTTGTATTTATCATTGTGGTAACGTAATAATTTGTTCGATTTATTTGTTCGCTTTGAGCTTGCAACACTTTCCACATTCTTTAGAGATAGGCCTCCGCCTGCTGCTCGATCCAATCGATATGGGAATTGACGCTGGTGTAGACTCCCGGGAATCCTTTCCTGCCGCAGCCCACGCCCCAGGACACAACACCCACCAGGACGCCGTCCACGGCCAAGGGTCCACCGGAATCTCCATTGCAGGTGTCCTTGCCGCCCTCCAGATAGCCGGCGCAGATCATCTCATCGGTCACCGTGTAGTCCTTGGTCAGATACTGGGCTCCGCAGGTGCTCTTCTCGACGATCTGCAGCTCAACGGCGCGCAGCATGGCGGGCAGAGCCTCATCCTCCTCGGTGCGCTTGCCCCAACCACTCACAACGGCATGGGCACCCGACGGAGGAGCCTCGAGGGCTATAGCAATGGGTTGCACCACGGCGGAGTACTCCAACGGCTCGCGAGTGATGATCAAACCGATATCATTCACATATGTCTTCTTATTGTAGCCGGCATGGGGGATCAGCTTGCTGACCTTCACGCCCTGCTCCTCCAGATCGGCAATCGAGTTCTGACCAGCCACGATCCGAATGTACGAGGCATAGCGTCCCTTGATGCAGTGGGCGGCGGTGACGACCACCCTGGGTGCGTAGATGCTGCCTCCGCAGATGTGGAGCAGCATGTAGGTCTCCAGGCGAACGGACACCTGGTACGGATACTCGGCGATGTCCGCCTGATCGCCACCCACAATGTGGGTGCTTATGGAGGCGGAATCCGAGAGGATAACCAGGCCAAGTAGACCCAAAAGACATAAGCCCAACCGCAGCGACATTATAACACTTGAAATGTGGTTCGATTTGGGCCTCTTATATAGGGTTGGAGAAGCCTGCTTATCACTTAACACCCAAATGGCGAGTCTAGCGATCATCCCCGATAGGTATTTTGGATTTTCATAAAATTCTGCTACGATATCGTAAAGTTTATAGGACTCGCAGCTCAATTCGTTTTATATCCATTATAAACTGGGCGGTGGTCTTCTAAAGACTCAATACCCACAACGCCAACTGGTCAGCTAAGGAGAACCCAAATGGGGATTATCAGTGAAGCGATCCACTGAGTCATCGAGCGACTCTATTTCATTTGCCACTGAACTTTACTCGTCCAGAATGACGACGGTGTCTAGTCGAGGAGTGTAATCTCGATCTCGAAGTGCTCCGTGGAATCGTGTCTTCAGATAAGGTAGGCTGAGATTTATTTACTATATTAATCGGTGGTGCACAAAAGCCGCAGCAAAGGTACAAGAAGTGATGGGCTAATCGGGCTGTTTGGCATAATAATAATTATTAATAATTGGACTGTTGATAACAACTCTTAATCGGTAAAAGCACCGCCGGAAATCTGATAATTCCAGTCGAAATATATCTGCCAATAATATGACCCACACTATATAAACTGACTAAACAGATCTGGGAATACTGAGTGATGAATGAATAAGAAAGTTTATTCGTTTGAGTTCCGTAAACAATTGGCTGTTAGTAAAGGTACATAGAAGTTTCGCGGAAATAAATGCAGAATATATTTTGTAGAATTTATGATGACGTTAAAAGCAGCAGTGGGAAAATGTGCAAAATCTGACGACTGGACAGTAAACATGAACGATTGATGTAATCAAGATCTTGAAGAGGCCCGTCTGCGCCGCTTGAAAATCCGCTCAAAGTTCGATCCGCTGGCACGCGTCTGAAGATCTCCCACTGACTTCCCCCAGTCGGATCGCTGAAAGTGAAGTGCCACTGGCATGCCAAAGGGTCTGCGATGCCATGGATGAGCAAGGAGAGCTGGAGGAGGCACATCAAACAAGCACAAAACGGATAATTGATTGCCATGCCACTTGGCAGGGGCATCCAGCATCCAGCATCACCTCCACTTCTCAGCTACTTAGCACTTCGAGTGCCGACTAGTTGGCAATTACTACGTATACTCGATACACTCGGGCATCTTGCGGATACCCGGGGAATCGGGGATTCGGGTATCCGGGGCAGTCTAGCGACGTAGCACGTACATCTTTTTCGGCGTGTTCAAGCCGAGCTCGATCGGGCCAAATCGGTTATAAATAGACGCCAACCGGCGGAGGTCCCGCACTCGTAGCTCATCAGTCGCCGGATGTGACTCTGGGTAAGAAGACCTCAAAACGGATATACCCCAGACGAAGTGGACCCAACTGGTCTATGTGTGGATTAGGCCAGTGATTGTGGCAAGGACTCTTGTGTGAACGACTGAGGATCTATACAAAATATATTGACTATATCAACGGAATACAAATAAGTGACTAAAATGTTTGTGGAAAAAGTGGTGAGTGATACAAATATTAGACCGCAATTTGGCAATAATAAAAAGGATTTATGCAATTAAAGTTTATAAATGAAGGGTATAATAGTTAAGTGAGATGGTAGATGGTGGTTCTTGCGTTTTCGATTTTATTATCTGAAAGTGTAGCAATTCCTCATGGATTTTTAGTTATAAGGATGCGTGCATGTTTTTAAGGATCAAATTCGGAAATATACACTTTACTTTAGAAAAGTTTAAAAATATAAACTTTACTTTAGAAAAGTTTTAAAATATACACTTTACTTTAGAAAAGTTTAAAAATACAAACATTACTTTCATTACCAATAGTGAAATATATTAGATTTGAAACTTCTTATTTATTTATCATATATCGTTCTATGAATTTTCGATCCGAAGTGAGCTCTTCAACTTGTAGGAGATGCCCAGTTTTTAGCTGAAGTTTTCAACTAGATTAACTCACCAATTTTGGTAACTTCGCCAGCACTTGAATCACTTTTAAACGGAATTTGAAGCGTTAGATTTGGGCGGTCGGATCACCTCAATGAGCAGCCTCTCGTTTCGGAAGACCATTATGATAATTTATGGAATTAGTGGGAAATAATCATGGTGTATGTGTATTTATTAGTGGCCAAGTGCCAAATGGCGAGCAAACAGGCGGGTTCTGCACATCTCGCAGCCTGGATGGATGAGCCGTGCCCAAAAAAAGAAATACAAAAAAAGTAATAAGAAGTAAAGAGGAAAAATAGAAGTAGCCTTCTGGACGCTTCAACGGCTTCTGGCCAAAAACGAGCATGGGGCTGATTAAACAAAAGATACTGGGGTTGTTGGACCTTGTGCTCGGCTCCCCTTGAGAGTTCCTAATTACGCCAATAGTTTCGGGCAGCAGGCGTCGGTGTTACGGATCAAATTCGAGCAGCTACAGTGTTCCAGTTGATCCCTAAACCAAGCCAGGCATCACAGCAAATTGAGCGATTGTGCGGATACATGCCGAGCTTTGATATCCGGCGCATGGGCAACATGCCCGCCAATACCGCTGGTCTGTGGAAGCGGGTGACCTTCCTGCTGGCCCTGCCGGCCATCGTCCTGTGCGCCGCGAACGCCTTCTCCGGGCACAAGCACGTGGAGCGGGAGCCGTTCGCCAAGTATGAGTACCTGAGGCGCCGGACCAAGCGCTTCCCCTGGGGCGATGGCAACCGCAGCCTGTTCCACAACGCCGAGGTGAATGCTCTGCCCGAGGGCTACGAGGATGAGGTGCCTCAGGAGGATTAGGCGCGCCCATTGTCTATTATTTTACTTTTGAACTTATTTTACTAGAAACTGATGGTAAGATCATTGCCACAAGTTCCCACTGCTCTCAAAGCTGATTGGCATACTCCTTAGAACACTCTTGGTAAATTGATTTTTGGATTACCGATATGACCGTCGGTATGATGGTTTGCCGATTCCTTGCCCGTAATAAATTATTCATTGAGATCTGAGTCAGTCAACTGGTGGTTTCACTTGGCCATGAAACCTGCTGTCGCATTTGGCTAATGGTTGGGGCTCTTACTCTCGCCCAGAACCAAACAATGGGGTTTTTGGGGCTTTTGGGGATTGGGAGGAGTGTGGGAACTGGGCAACAAAAGCCTGTCCCTGGATTTTTGGCCGGTGATCATCATTTGTCATGTTTTGTGCTCATCGTAACCTGTTGCACCACGAAACGCCGACTCGAATGGGCCAAAACCAAAGCAAACCAACACGTACACATGCACGGTGTGGTGTGGTGTGGTGTGGTGTGGTGCTTTAATCGATCTTATGGATACACACACGTACTTGTATCTGAGATCGCATAGCATCGCCCATACGCCGTGTTGGCCCAAGCAATTCACACGACAGTTAGATACATAACTTATACTTTCGTTGCGATTACGATAACGTGTGTTTGCCGAAAACTTGCGACACGCGGCAAGGGCAAGTGCTCGCATCCAAGTTCGAATGCCTAAGTGCTCCGAGATCCCCAGTTAATTAGACTCCAGTGCGTAGCCGATGAAGTGCGTTCAAGAGCCCGGGTTCTCGATAGCCGTCCAAATATTGACCTGTGCGGCAATTAGCCACGCGACTTGACCTAATGAATCTCTGTGCTCCTACCCTCCCCCCAACAGCTGGAGCGGACCACCAAGTTGGAGCTGTGCTCCATCCTGATCCTCCTGGTGATCAGCCTGAGCATCTACACATTCTACGCCACCCTGAACACGTACCTGCGGTCGGTGCTCCTCTCGCTGAAGCTCACGGGTCCGCCATCGCTGCCATTTCTGGGAAACTGCATGCTGGTCACGGATAAGGACTGTAAGATCCAATTAGAGATGGTCGCGTTTATGTGAAGGAAACCTTTTGATCCCATTTTACAGTGATGCGTCGCTGTGCCGGCAAGGCCTTCGACCTATATGGATCTCTAGTGCGGATCTGGGTGCTGCTCTTTCCCTTTTTTGCTGTCCTGGAGCCGGAGGATCTGCAGGTGATACTCTCGTCCAAGAAGCACACCAACAAGGTGTTCTTCTACCGGCTGATGCACAATTTCCTGGGTGACGGCCTGATAACCAGCAGTGGCGCCAAGTGGAGTAACCATCGGCGGCTCATCCAGCCAGCCTTTCATCACAATCTGCTGGAGAAGTTCATTGACACCTTTGTGGATGCCTCGCAGTCGCTGTACGAGAACCTGGATGCCGAGGCCGTGGGCACAGAGATAAATATTGCCAAGTACGTGAACAACTGCGTACTGGACATACTAAATGGTGAGTCTCTAGGGGATTAGCAAGCCATATTTCCACACTTAATCCCTGAACGACTTGCAGAGGCCGTTTTGGGAGTGCCGATCAAGAAAAGGGGCCAGGATGTGGTCATGATGGAGGACTCGCCGTTCCGCCAGGGCAAGATCATGATGCCCGCGCGGTTCACCCATCCCTGGCTGCTGCTGGATGGTATCTACCACTGGACCAAGATGGCCAACGATGAGCTGAACCAGAAGAAGCGCCTCAACGACTTTACCCGCAAAATGATCCAGCGGCGTCGCCAAATCCAGAACAACAATAATGGGAATAGCGAGCGTAAGTGCCTGCTGGACCATATGATCGAGATCTCCGAGAGCAATCCGGACTTCACGGAGGAGGATATCGTCAACGAGGCCTGCACCTTCATGCTGGCTGGCCAGGACTCGGTGGGTGCCGCCGTGGCCTTCACTCTCTTCCTGCTGACCCAGAATCCCGAGTGCCAGGATCGCTGTGTCCAGGAGCTGGCGGCCATATTCGAGGACAGTAACAGAGCGCCCACGATGACGGATCTGCACGAGATGCGTTACATGGAAATGTGCATCAAGGAGGCACTGCGTCTGTATCCCAGTGTCCCACTGATCGCCCGCAAACTGGGCGAGGAGGTTCGCCTGGCGAAGCACACATTGCCCGCCGGCAGCAACGTTTTCATCTGCCCATATGCCACCCATCGCCTTGCCCACATCTATCCCGATCCGGAGAAGTTCCAGCCGGAGAGGTTTTCGCCAGAGAACTCGGAGACCCGCCATCCCTACGCCTTTATTCCCTTCAGCGCTGGTCCCAGATACTGCATTGGCAATCGATTCGCCATCATGGAGATCAAGACCATAGTGTCGCGCCTGCTGCGAAGCTACCAGCTGCTGCCCGTATCCGGAAAGACCACCATTGCGGCCACCTTCCGGATCACACTGAGAGCCTCCGGCGGATTGTGGGTGCGCCTCAAGCCGCGCGACCATGCGCTAACCAAACATTGATTGCCCTTGTTCTAATCCTGCGATTACTGATCCTGCGTTTCGTTACATTAACTTTAATTAGTATGGTAAATATGTATATAAATCGATACAATAATTTAAACACGTAGCTTCCTCTAGCCTAAGTACAGTTCCCTCTGACCGGAGGGAGTCCGTGCACATATCCTACTGTGAGTGGGTGTGGGTGTGGGTGTGGATCCAGGATGCTGGGTGGGTGCGCTCGGATCCGCAGTCGCCGCGCGTTTCGCAGTCGCTTCATATTCGAGTGTTTCGTAGAGTTTCTCTGGGGTACATCTTTTTTACTTAAACAATGCTATATCTGCTTTATCTGTAATAAAGTTATGCTTGTCGGCGTTTAACCGACTTAATCTAGGACGTGATATGCTGCGTTTCGTTGTTGAATCGGCTGATGAGACGTCGCGCGCGTGATTCGCGATTCGTCTCCGCCGTGTTCCCATTTCCATTACCATTGCCATTACCATTACCATTTCCAGTGCCAGTGCCAGTGCCCGTGCCTTTCCCATTGCCAAACTGCCGCTGAGCACTGGACACCGTGTGCTGTTGGGCAAGACGCTCGGCCGCCTCACGGACGCGTTGGCTCATCAGCCGCGTCGGCGTGGCGGATCGCTGGGGCAGCGGAGAGCTGGGCATGGACCGCACCTGGGGCGGCTTGCCTTTGGAGGATCCACTGGGTAAGCTGGAGCCGGCGCCTCTGCCGGTCCTCGCCGACTCCTCTGCTGCAAATCGGAAAACAATCAGGCGGTTAGTGCTTCGTTTGGTTTCCAGAGCAAGCCCTAAACGGATCTTAAAGTGATTTGTATGAAGAGTTAGGTATATTTGCAGGACTTGGGTTATCTTCTCTAGTTACATGTAAATATATCGTTAGATTAAATATGCCAGTTTGCTAGTAAATGAACTTCAGCAAAGTTAAATGCATAGAGATCGTTTGATCTTAATCAGTTTGTCTTAGTTAGGAAAGGGCGTTATCAAGTGTTTTCTGTTTAGTGAAATCATTTTCGGGTTATTTTATGTTTAAAATTGTAGTTCCTAGAACCCTCGCAACACTTTAAGATCCGTTTCGGGTCAGGAGCAAAAGTTACTTCTACTGATGCGTCCCACACTCGCCACCTTGGCTATTTTGTAGGACTCAAAGGCAAGCGGAGGTTTGTTAGCAGCGGATGCGGATGCGGTTGCGGATGCAGAAGCAGGAGCAGGGGAGACCTGGAACCTGTCCTTCAGCTGGGACACCTTCAGCTTGGACTCACACAAGAGGGGCTTGACCTGGGGCTTGGACTTTGGCTTCTCCCGCGCAGCGCTGTCCTCCAGTGACTTCTTGCGCATCTTGATGGTGTTGGTGAAGTCGGAGCGCATGATGGCCTCGCCCTTGGTGGGCAGCTCCAGGGCGACGGTATGCTCCGTGTCGTCGTGCACAACGGTGGGCAAGGTACTCGCCTTCGCTATCGCCTCCAGCTTGGACTTGGCCAGCGAGAGGAGCAGCGTCTCCTGGGCGCCACTGCAATTGGAGCACTCGCTGTAGCCGGAATCGCTGCGTTCACTGCACTGTGACTTGTCCCGCAGCTTGAGAACGGTGCGCTTCTCCACTGGCGGCATCTCACCGCTGAAGTCGTCCTCCTCCTCGTGGAGGGATGTCATTTGGGTGCTAGTCCCACCACCGATGGCACTGGCGGTCAGCATGCCCAGACCGGAAATGGAAGGCCTTGGACTACTCAGCACGCCCATGGCAATGGCAGAGTTCCGTCGCGACACCGACAGGTTGGCCATGCGACCAAGAGCACGGATGGCATTTCCGGTTTTCTGGATTAGCAGCAGCAGTAGCAGCAGTAGCAGCGGATAGCAGCAGCGGGCAGGGTTAGAAAGGTAGCAGCAGTGGGGATCATTGGTTAGGATCTTTGGAAGCAGCGAGCTTGAGGCATTTACTAACCTGCCACTTGCGCCGAATGATGAACTTCTTCAGCTTGTCCGTGCAGATCTTGTTGTTGCTGAGATTGTCGTCCGGGCGCTGGCTCAGCCACTTGGACTCCAGGCACTGCTGGGCGGTCAGGCGGTCCTCCTTGCGGTGAACCAGTAACTGCGAGATGAAGTCCTTGGCCTCTTGAGAACTACGAGAAATGTTCTTAGGATTTAAGAATGTTAGTTAAAGATAGTGCAACCTACACGCAGTCAAAGGCCTCGTCATCGTAGTCGTAATCCGCCCTGGTTATATTCGAGAAGGTTTCCACATCGGTATCGCCCATGAAGGGCGAGAGACCCGAGAGCCTACAAAAATGAATTATAGATAATCCGGGAGAGAATATTCGGTATGCTCCACTCACAGCACGTAGCAAATGACGCCCACACTCCACATGTCGGACTTAAAACCTATGGGCTCGTAGCTAATGATCTCTGGTGGTATGAACTCTGGGGTTCCAAAGAGAACTCGGACGGGCGCTTTCGTATCCAGTCGTTGGGCCAATCCAAAGTCAATGATCTTGATCTGGTGGCTGGTGCGGGTATGGCACATTATGTTCTCCGGCTTCAGATCGAGATGCACCACACTTTGGCCGTGCATGTAGGCCACTCCATCGCAAACCTGGCGCAGGAACAGGATGCAGTCCATCTCGGTCAAGGTAAAGTCATCAGCCACCACGCGTTCGAATAATTCTCCGCCAGTGATGCTAGGGAATCAGAAATCTCAGTGGTGATCCTCTGTAGATATGCATAGTAATACTTACTACTCCATCACCATGACAATCTCCCTTGGACTTTCGAAGGAGGCGGCCAGCTGCAGGAGCTTGGGATGCTGCAGCGAGCGCATGATGGAGATCTCCTCGAGCACCTTCTGCCGATCCTGGGACTTGATGCACTTGATCACCTTGGCGGCCAGCAGCTGCTCCGGCTGACCGCGCTCCTGCACCTTGTAAACGATGCCAAATCGCCCCTTGCCCAGCTCCTCGATGATCTCGAAGCGAGATTTGAAGTCTCCACCAGACTGCACGCTCACTGTCGCCCGTCCAAAATGATCGCTGGCATCTGTTGTGGTCCTCTGTGGCGTATTGGTTATCTGTACCAGTTCGCTGGCCTGGCCGGGTGCACTGCGTCCATGGATATTCTCGGCGCGCACTCTGAATCGGTACTGCATCTGTGGCTGCAGATTCTTGACCGTGTACGCCAAGCTGTCCACCACTCGGGTCACCTGCAGCCAGCTGTCCTCATCCCCGTCCTGCCCAATGGTCTGCATCTCAATGCTGAAGGGATGCCGCTCGTATTACCAACATATAGCAGAGTTAGTTGAGTCTGATGATACTTACATAAAGCCTGTGATCATACAGCCACCGTCGTAGGGTGGACCACACCAGGCCACTGCCACGCGATCTGGACCCAGCGAGACACTGGGCTGGCCACTGGGTGGCTCCGGAGGACCTTCCACCGCCACCGAGGCAGCGGCAGCCTCCACGCCGTAGTCGTTCATCACCTCCACCGTATACTTGCCGCTGTCGTCCGCCGAGATGTCCGTGATGTAGAGCGTCGACTGCTGGCTCGTCGTCCGGATCGTCACATTGGAGCCCTCAACGATGGGATGGCACTGTGGAGCCAAGAGAGATTTGTGTGAGAAGTGCTCGGTTTGCACTGAGCACAAGGTGTAAACCTAGTCAAACAAAGTTCCCCAGTACTTGAACTGTACAACTAGTGTAATTACAGCTCCAAACAGCATGTTTACTTAGCCCCAAGTGTGAAAACAAGATAAATTCGGCTGCCACTTCAAGATAAAGATATGTATGATGATTTGTTTCGGGTGTATCGATGTAGTCAACCTTCGCTGGTGCGACTCGCCAAGCATTTGCGGTTTTTGCAACCATTACGTAGCCAGTCTAGGCAAGCGAAGCACCCAAGCAACCCAAGCCACCCGAGCAACCCGACCAACCCAACTGGCCCAGCGAACCCAAGCGAACAACACCGCAAACTGATCGTGACACAGTCCCAGTAGAGAGACACCTAGGCTAAATGCCCTAAGCGAGGCAGTGGGCTGTGGAGATAGGGTGCCGAGTGGGCTTAGGGCAGATAAAGAATATGGAATATGGAATATGAAATTTGAAAATATGGATTCGTAATCCTCCGGTCTGCCTGCCACTTCCAAATTGGGTCAAGATTGCACAACACCACGCTCCGTTCGAAACCGGACCAGCGACCATAAGCCTAATGCCGCCTTAGAGTTCGAGATGTATGGCTATTTATATACCCAAGCCCTATCAATGTAATAATATCCAACACTCACCGCCTTGTACCAGATGACTTTGGTGCCCGGGAATGGCTCGTAGCGTGCGCTCAGCCGAACTTGTCCACCAATCAAGGCGGTGCAGTCCTCGGGGCGCGTCAAAATGCAGCTTCTGGCCGCCAGCGAGGAACAGGAGCTGTTGCCCCGGATGGCGGGCAGCACCAGGAGGCTGGTGTAGGTGCGGCTGGCGGGAATCCGACGGGACTCCGCCTGGGGATGCTTCACCTGCAGACAGATCTCGCCGCTCCTCGATGCGGTCACGTCGCGCAGTCGCAGCAGCCGAATGCCGTTCTCTGGATAAGACTCCAACTGGAAGGAGGCAAGGAAGCATATGGAAAATTAGTTGAACATCGCACATACACTGAGGGAAATGCTAGCACTACCCGCTGTAATTACGCTTCAATTGGGGAATTATTGTTCTTTAAGTGAGCCAAATTATTGAGCATTCTCGAAAGCTTCATTAATTGCAATTTTATTGGAACATGCACATCGTTGATTGAAATCTTCTGATAAACTTTTAGTTTGTGTAGAGATGATATTAAAGGCCTTTGAAAAGCAGCTTATTAAGTTGAAAGTTTAAAGTTTAAAGCAGCCGAAGTGGTTGTGTTAGAAATTGCAATATTTTGGATATAGGGTGTACAATTATGATTTTTAACTTGTTCACGTTGCATTGCAATAACACACAAGAGCGCGGGCTGGTCACTTTTCTCGCGGTGTACCCTCGCTCACATGGGTAAACAATTATATACTGTATGCACAAGTGTACGGAGAGTGGCGATCCGAATCCGAATCCGGGCGAGCCGAGTCCGGAGCAAGGTGCTGGTGACGCGACGCGACGCGACGCGGACTGAGGTTGCTATAGAACTGAACGACGCGCTCCGTGGCACGCACCAATTAAGCGAGCAGCGGGAACGGATGGGAGCTACGCCACGAGCGGAATTCCATGAGCGGACGACGGGCGATCGAAGCGGAATGATCGTGACAATGACACTTTCACGCCCGCTCTCATTTTCATTGGAGCACAAACGGCGTTCCTTATCGAATGGGGGGAATTCGAAATGGAATTGGAAATGGGAATAGTTATGGGGGCTTAAACCGAATCGAACGCCAGCGACATTGATACTGGCAATCCATTTGGCTCGCCTCCGCCTACCTGTGACATCTTGTCACGCCCCTGTGCCGATCGCCTGGGATTCTGATTCTGATACTGATTCTGATTCGGATTCAGATTCGATTGGAGCTGGGCTCTTTGATTTCCCTATCATCTGGAGGGGTATGTATATGGAATGTATATGGAATTGTGGTAAAACCGATGGCACCGCGATGTGCACCGCTCGAGCGCCGATGAGCGAGTGTTTCCATCGTTGGCATGCAGCTCGCATCTTTGGCAGCTCCTCCCATAGGCGGCTTATGCTAATGAGCATGCTCTCACACATTCGGGTCGACATGTGGACATCAATGTATATGCACACAATTATTATTATTGTTTTCGCGGCCAAAAGTGCGAAGAAGCTGCCTGCGGCAAGGCAAGAGCAGAAAATGAAGAGCTTTGTTTTTGCTTTCGTTTCGGTTTCGGTTGCGGATTCGGTTTTGGGGCCAAACACGCCGTTCCAAAGTTTATTACGTTAATTACGCATACGCACCGTCATGTTAAGTGAGTCATCCGCCTGGGCCAAAAGCTGTCCATTGAGATACCAGTCGGCTTCCGCGTCGCAGGGGAAAACACGGGCGTAGAAGAGGGCTTCCTCGCCGGTGGCGCAGACCACCGGAAGCGGCGTCTTCAGCAGCTGGACGCACTCCTCATCCTGGCCACGGAGATCGCGCTCCAGGACGCACAGCTCGCCGCTGCTGCTGCAATCGCATCCGCTGGAAATGGAGCTGCAGTTCGGATTGGAGTCGGTGGTGGAGGTGGAGTCGTCGATGTCGCTGATGGTAAACACCTGACAGCTGTAGGTGCCGGAGTCAATGTCGAAGGCGTCGCTGATTCGCAGGCAGAGGCGTCCATTGCCGTGATCAATGTAACTGCAGCGACAATGAAAGTGCCATAAGTATTTGCATAGTTCGCATTAAGGTGGAAACAAAGGGAACCCATTGGCTTTTGTCACTCAATACGAGCTTATCGCTGGAAATTGGGTGCTTATAAAACACTGAGCGAATTATTACAACTTTACAAATATGTTTAAGTGAAAGCTCTTTCGTGACCAGATTGAAGTAGTCTTACTGATAAGAAACGGCTCCCTTCAGCCACCAGGTACTCACTTGAACTCATCGCTGTCCGGTAGAATTTCGCCATTTCGCAGCCATACGTAGCTGTATGGCTCATCGCAAGCGATGGAGCAGCACAGATCGATCACCTCGCCCTCCAGAGATTTGGTAATCTCGGGCAGTGGTTCCGTGATGACAGCACGGCGCCTGGGGATCGCCGTGTTGGGGTCGTGGAAGGTGACTGTGGTGGAACTGACGAGCGGATCGTGGTCGCCACTTATGATGCAGGTGTACTGGCCCTCATCCTCGCGCGTCACATTGTCCACGATCAGCAGGGCCATGGAGTCCTGCAGCAGGATGTGAACCCGTTCCGAGGCCTCCAGCTCCACGTCGTTGTGGTAGAATCTCACCGAGGGCACAGAGGAGCCCCGATAGCCACTTGCCAGAGCCATGCGTCCGCCAATTGCTGCGGATTAAAAGATATTAAGTGAAATAATGGCAGAACTGCATACTGCAAAAATCGGGCAAGGAGCATCACCCACCTGTGGATGGACCCATGATGCGCCTGTACAAATGGGCATTTCGACGGGAGGAGGAGGCACGCACGCTGCGCACCGAGGGCGACTTGGAGTAGCGGGAGCTGCGGATGACGTCCAAGCGAGCGGTGGCCTCAATGCGCCCGAAATCGTTCTCCAGAGTGACGCGGTACAGGCCGGCATCGTCGAAGGTCACCTCATCGATCTCTATGATACGCAGGTCATCGATTTCCTTGACGGCAATGCGCGGCGTGGGTGTCACAATCAGGCCGTCCTTGTCCCACGTCGCCCATGGTGTGGGATGACCGGCGATGGCGCACTGGAAGCGCACACTGTCGCCCTCCTCGACGACGCGATTGTAGGGAATGGCGAGAAACTTGGGCGCCGTGATGGCATTCCGGGCATCACTGCGCCTCCGTTCCGCCACGGCGGACAGATCGATGCTGCTGGTGCGGTAGGACAGGCGCAGGGGAGAGAAACTTCTGGCGGGGGTCGATCTTGGCGTGGAACGGGGCGTGGAGTGGGCGGAGAGCAGGCCACTGGGTCGCGCTAGCTGGCGGCTCAGCATATTCTCCTTCTCCTCCGGCACATCCACAATAATGCAGGCGGAGGAGAGACTGCGGCCCACCGAGTTCTTGGCCACGCACGTGTACTCGCCCTCATCCTCTGGATACACGCGCGGAATGCTCAGCGTGGCCTTTATGCCATCGAAGGACATTACGTAGTCGCGATCGCTGGGCACAACATGCCCATCCTTCTCCCAGATGATGAATGGCTCTGGATCGGCCTCAACATGACATTCCAGCGATATCGCATCCCCATCGCAACAGCGCAGGTTTCGCAAGTTACGAACGAATCGGGGAAGGGTCTCGATGTTGCTGAATAATTGTCGAAACTTATTAATAATACTTTATGTCATTATTGAGGTTGAACCTACCCATGTCTCGTGTGCACTTTATCCATGCGGCTTTTGTTGAGTATATCTGGTGAAAACAAGATATTATATTAGACTTAGAATATATAAATCGCATTTTGAAATTGGCGCCCTTCAAACTGCTTGCCAAGCAGTTGCGGTAAGTGTCTTGGCTAATCAACGGTTTTAGTAGTATTTTTCACAGTGTTCCTATTTATAATATCGATAATCGATAGCAATCGCGGCCCAATGTTTATTTTTAGCGAACCATCGTTTTCTTAACATTTTGTGCACAAAGTTTGGTTAAAATAAAATGAGGGGCATGATTATTGTGCCCATGGACCTGGAGCCCGGCTTCCGCAAAGCAGACGTACACAATATACCTGTTCTGAATAGCGGAATGGTGTATAATTTTTGCCTATCCGGCGCCTCTGAGAAATCAAAGCAAATGTGAGTGCACATCCCTTTCGCACATACGTACTGCATATTCAATTAAATATATTAAATTTCTTCCCACAGGCCAACGGATAAAAATGATCTCCTGACGGATTACGTCCAAGTGCGCAGGCATGGCGATGTTTGCGAACTTAAGGGGCTCGTGTTTTCTGCCACCGACTTCGCCAACACGGAAACCCACGCAAATGTGGCGCTCAAGGTCGTTGAAAGTGCGCGGATGATCATGGACGGACAATGCAGCCTGTGCTCCGCAGCATGTGAGGATAACTCCGTTCGCCACAATTATCTAGTTCCTAATCTGTAGCCCGTTTCAGGTACATGTGCCCACATCGTGGCCTTCACCTTCTGGCTACTAAACAGGAGCGCAGATCGAAATCCCTCCGCTGTGGTGGAGTTTTGGGGCCATGAATTGGAAAACCTGGTGCAACCGGAGCCCACAACTGCTACTCGAATATGTGATATAATGCCCAAGGATGAGGTGCGAATGGAGAGCGAACTAAACTCGAAGGAACTTAGTGCCAGCGAGGGAGAGGCTTTTCTACACACCATTCTGGAAGAGCTGGCCAACTGTGGCAGGGACTCGGCGCTCTACCGCCAATGTGTGGAGACCACCGATGAGTTCGAGCCCATGTTTGTGCACCATGTGCTGCTTCGAGCAGCAGAGTACAACGTCTTCGATCCACCCAGCTATGTGCAACACATGGAGGCACAGGCTCAGACGGGAATTATCGAAAGTCTGTACGATGCGACACGGGGCAAATACAAATCCCGACTGTGGATAGAGACGCAGTACATGCGCATCCGTTGCTCCATGATGCACATGATCATTAACCGTAAAACTCCGGAGGACGACGATCAAATCTTCAATATGATGTTTTGCAAAGGACGTGACAAGAATAACGCGGATCGGGTGCAACAGAAGGAACATAAGCGATTTATATTGAAACAGACTGAGAAACTGGAGAACAAGCACTACATAGAATGCGGTTTGATCCTGCACGAGAGCTATCCCTTCTTGTGCGCTGCCCCTGATGGCATCACGGACGATCACATTGTCGAAATCAAATCGCCAAGGACTGATGAGGACTTTGAGAAGTACCTCGAGGCTCGCGAGTCTATTGCACCCAAGTACATGGCCCAAATACAAATCCAGATGTTTGCGGCAAATGTAAAAAAGGCACTCTATTGCGTCCTGAGTCCAACGTTCGAAAGCAACGGAGCTCTACACTACGTTTGGGTACAAGCGGATGCGGAATTTGTGAGCAGTTTGCTGACCATGGCCGAAGAGTTTTGGCGGGACGTGGTCTGTCCCCGCCTATTGAATATGTACCCCCCGTCCAGTTAATAAATACATTGTGCTCCTTACCTTTGGCGAATATTTGTAGCGATATTACAGCCTTGGCCTCGCCATGGCAATTGCTGGCTATCACGGAATAGGTGCCGGTGAAGTCCAACTTGGCGCTGGGTATCTCCAGCCTGTACTCGGGTCCGTCTCCAATGCGCCGGAAGTGGGGCGCGTCCTTGTAGTACTCCGGCTGCGGGCGAAAGAAAACGTGGCGATCAGTGGGCTGAATGAGTCAAGGTCACCTATGCAATGAGCTTCGACTATAAGGACTTGTGCGGCTGTCGCAGATCATGAATCACGACTGTCTTTATACAAATGTCGATGCCGTTGACGCTGACTCGGCCGCCGTTGTTATTATTGTGTTAAGCTTATGGCCATATAAGCACAAAATTCAGTTTCGAGACTGTCGAATAGGAAAACTGGTAATGGGTATACGTTGCCCACCCTGACCTCCTACTCCTCCTGCCTGCCTGCCTGCTCGCTTCCTTGGTCGACTTCGTGCGCGACAGTGGCTAATAATATTTTTTATTTTTTCCTTTTTGGCTCGCGTAATTGTTTGTTGCGAACAAGCCTGTTATTTGATATGGGTTGAACTTGAATTAGCGTTTGACAGCGAATCGGATTTGTAAGATCTGTCTAAGTGCCTGTGGTCTTGTATAACGCGCACCGTTTCAGTATGACGCACTTGTCCGTAATCCGAGCCAGCTGCCCCTGCACTCTATTCTTCACGTGCCACTTTGTAGCCACTTTGCTGGCGGATCGGTTTCTGGGCTGGTTACCTCTGAGAGGGATGCGATGCTCCGCTTGTTTGGACACTTTGTTCGCGCTCGCGGATCAATCAAAATCAAATTCTATCCGCGCGAGCAACTGTGGCAACTCGAAAAAACGTTCTACTAAGTGTACGGCCCACTGGGAGTTGCTTATTTATAGTCAGCTCGAGCGGAAATTAAATTCGAACTTCCTGATGCCGGTAGGGCCCACGTTGCTGGTTCACCTAAACTTGAGTCTCTGATAAGGCAACGGGTTTGGAATCGAGAGAGGGTAGTGATGGAACGACCCACATTTGCTGACGCCGCGAATGCAACTGACGAACTGCGTCTGTCCGACGTCGAACTGCGCATGTGCAACATGTGCAAGCTGGTCTCGCACTACGTCACTACATACTCATACTCACATTCAGAAAATCGCGCAGCCAAACGACTTCGGGCTTGGGATCGCCGACCACCTCGCAGAATATGATGACGTTGTCACCCTCGTAGGCCTCGCTGGATCGGGGCTTGACCACGAACAGGGGCTCCTTGGAATAACTAGGGGGAAATGAGTGATCAATTGAAGGTTCCTAAATACGATAGCAAATGCAATACTAACGGCAGATCATCAGTCTTAATGCTGGGAATTTCCAGGGATCGCTGCGGCGCCAGCACCTTGTTCTCCTCCTCTTCAATGGCCACGCGGCAGATGGTCTCCACTTTACCCACAACGTTGGATGCAACGCACACATAGATTCCTGCATCCCGCACGGTGGCCTCGGCAATGATAAGCTCCACAAAACCATTGCAGTCCAAGGAGGCGGTCAGGCGACGACTGGGTCGCAGACGCATCCCGTTGCGGTGCCAGGTGACACCAACGGATGGATAGGCCTCGACCTTCGTGGACAGACGGATTTCGGAACCCTCGCGGAATATATAGAAGGGATCCAAGGGCACATAGAAGTCTGGTGAGATGTAGGCTCGGATGCCCTTGTCCACCACCAGGGTGCAGTGGCAGGACACGGAACCCAGCTCGTTCCTCGCCAGGCAGGTGTAGGTACCGCTGTCGTCCAGCGTGGTTGCAGCAATTTCCAGCGTGAAGAACTGTCCCTCGGCACTGATCAGATGCTTTCTATCAGTGTGGATGAGCTGATCGTCCTTGTACCACAAGATCTCTGGCACAGGATAGCCCACGATCTGGCAGGTGAGTCGCACCGGATAGGTCACCTGGACGCGGCGATCTCTTAGGCGCATGGTGAAGATGGGCAGCGAGTCGCCGACATCCGCTACATTGCGACCATGGGCTATCTCCTTCAGACGCGAATCTGCCTCGTAGATTCTCGAATCAGAGACGACTTGGAGGCGGGCGAAAGTGGAAACCCTGCCCTTCGAGTTGGTCGCCTCGCAGGTGTAACGGCCCGAGTCCAGTTCGCTGACGGTGGCAATGGTGAGGGCACAGGTTGAACCGATCTGCCGGATCTTAACGCGTTCCGAACTGCTGCTCAGCTGAATGCCATCCTTGAACCAGGTCACCTGGGGCCTCGGCGCTCCACGCATGTTGCACTGCAGGGTGAAGGAGGAGCCCAACAGAGCCTTGGCCTGACCCGGCAGGATCTTGACGAACTCCGGCAGGCACTCGACACCGCCCACCTGGAGAGGACTGCTGGTCTGGACGGTGGGTCCCCAGCCATATCGGTTCTTGGGCGTCACGCGGAAGTGGTACTCAACGTTGGGCTTCAGGTTGAAGGCGTCGAACGAGTTGATGGGCGTCAGACCCAACTCTCGCCAGTAGGCTCCGCCCTCGTGACCCACCACCCAGGCCTCAACCTTGTAGGCCATCACCGGCGCTGAGTTGGCACTCACCGGCTTGCCCCACGACAACGAGATGTGGGTGGGTCCGGAGTCCACGACCAGTGGCTCGGTGGAAATGCAACCCGGTGGATCTGAGGGATGGATGAGAGAAAACTGGTAAATGAATGGGCTCAAATGGGGGCGGGAGTGGATATTAGGGCGACCTCAAGTAAAACTCTTTACGCCCCGGAGAAATATTTTTTATTTTCTTGTTTCCACTACGTAAATGTATAAGCTGGATTGCTGTGCTTTATATAATACATTATTTATATATGTAGGTACGATAATAAAAGTAATTAAGTCGATCGTTCAGAAATACTAACAAAAGATAAATACAGGAATAGTTATTGGTTGTGTGCTGGGTTTCTACGATCTCACAGGAAATTTCTTTTGTAGTTTGAGGTTTCTTGGGGCGGTTCAACCGATCTGCAAATGATAATTGCAAATGAGGATTGGGTCTTCAGTACCACACATAGACAGAAACGGACACTCCCACGGACAACACGGACACCACGGACATGGAGGGACTTTGCACACGGCACAAGGAGCCTTATGGCCACACCCGAATATACAATCCTTACCTCTGAAGTACGAGGTGTCGCTGTAGCTGTCCAGGGGAAGGCCCCAGCGTGGTTGCGTTGGTGTGGCGGATCGAGCGCGGGGGTTTACCTATAAGTTTTGTAGTCAGAACGATATATTGTATTGCATTGAGTGAACACATAGAGTCAGGAAAGTAGACTGAGGGCTAAGTATGATATAATTGTAGTTGTATTTTGGTGCTGTTGAAGGGAGGCGTTCGAATTTGCAAAATAAATTGTATTAATAAGCTTTATTCTTCTTTCTTTTTGGGTATTTTAATCTGGAACAAGAGAAGCAGAGAAAAGAGAACGAATTGCAGTGGTTAGTGAGCGAAAGCGATAGAGGGACAGCCACAAGCAACACGTCAACTAGTATATATAGCGTATGATGAACAGATCCCATGAGGACACAGATGGGGACACGCAGCCTACCGTCACAGTGACGAATATCCTGTCAGTGCCGAAGTTGTTGCGGGCCACCACGAAGTAGGTGCCAGAATCGGAGATCTGGGCTTGCTGCACTGAGAACCTTGTGTAGTCATCGGACACCTCTTTGCTGACCCGATCCGACTGGGTAATGTCCTTCGTGCCCTTCATGAAGGTGACTGCAAGACAAGGATCATACATCAGATGTTACTCCCCACCACTTTGTGGTATATCCCGCTTACGCTTTGGCTTCGGATCGCCGGCAATGCGGAAGGACAGCGAGAAGGGATCACCCACGGCGATCTTCATTTCGGTGTCCGGTCGCGAGAGGAACAGCGGAGGACGCTCATCCTTCTCAGCTCCCACGGCCACATCGACGTTGACATTCGATTCGATGCGACCGAAGGCATTGGAGGCGCGGCAGGTATAGGTGCCCTCCACCTCGGGACCGGCATTCATGATAGTCAGCGTGTAGACGCCGCGATCGGCCAGGGCCTTGACATTGGGTCCATCCACCACCCTGCGATCGCGCAGCCACTTGACCTCGATGGGTGTGCTGGTCTCCATGAACTCGGCGGAAATGGCCACGGTGCCACCGTTGCAGACCGTTTGGTTGCCCAATGGAAGCAGGAAGTGCGGCTTGTTGGGGTCGCGATGGAAGAATCCGTGCGTCTTCTGCAGCGAGTAGTGCTGGCGTCCCTTGAAGTCCACCTGGTGGGAGATCTTGTTCTCCGCTCCCTCGTTGCGGGCCACACACCAATAGATGCCCGAATCCTTCTCTGTGGGATTCACGATGACCAGCTTGGCATAGCCATCGGCCTGATCGCTCGGCTTGAACTTCTCGCTGCTCTCAATGGGCTCCGTGCCCTTGATCCACTGGATTTCAGGACGCGGCTGGCCACGTACGCGGCAATCCAGAACCAACTCATTCTCGTTGAGAGAATATGTGTCTGCAAAGGGTAAGGATTAATAAGTAGCTTTCTTTAACTTTAAATCGGGGCCAACAGAAGCTGTTAAAACATTAAGGAGGTGCAAGCGATGATGGATTCCGTAGCTCTTTTTAGACGGGTAATACCTCGGATGGGCTGCGTAAAAGTACTTGGCAATGGGGCTTCCTTGAAGTGCTTGTATACCCGCAGCTGGGCATGGCTCAAACTCTCTCCAAAATCGTTCGAGGCACAGCAGGTATAGTTGCCACTATCATCGGCCACCGCAGCGAAGATCTCCAACGAAGCTTCTCCATTCAGGAAGAGTGTCTGATAGCGATTGTCGCCCCTGGGCAGTGGTTTGTGGTTCTTCAGCCACTCGATGTGGGTATTCTCGTCTCCGGATACGGCGCAAAGCAGCCGGATATTGGCTCCCTCCGAAACTGTGCGATCGTGCAACAGGGTGTGGAAAAGTGGTTTTCCCTTGCCCACGCTGCGTAGGACACGATCGCCGGCCCGATGAAGTTCTCCATTGCCGTTGACCTGACTTCCGGAACTCAAATGCGACTGGCTACGTGACCAGTGCGCGCTATCGTGATCGCTGATGCTTGGAATCTCCTCCTGACTGACGTTAATCAGGCGCTTGAGATCGGCCGCCTTGATGGTGATGCTAGTGGAGTCAATCCTATCCTCGTGCTCTGCATAGCAGGCGAAGATGCCGCAGTCGGAGGATATGGGATTGCGTATAACCAGCTTTCTAACGCCACCTGGTTCTTCTACTGTTCTGTACCGGTTGTTGCATATGGAGTGGTCATCACGCATCCAACTGACATTTGGACGTCCTTTGACCTGGCAACTGAGCACGATCTCATTACGCTGGTCGTCGTACGATTCTAAAAGGCGAAAATTAGAAAGGTGAGAAGGTGTGTAGGCAAGGATGCTTTCATAATTACCTATAATACCACTGGAGAAGCTTTCCGGTAATTTGCCAGCGGACTGATCCAGCACACTTAACTGGCCAGCACTTTCCACAGTCTGCCGACTGTTCTTCACTACGCAGCGGTAGTGACCACTGTCCTCCACCCGGGCATCGTAGATTTCCAGGCTGATGGCTCCGTTTATGTTGTAGATCTTATGACGCGCATCCTTAGTCACCCGCTCATCGTTCCTCAACCAGTGAACATCCTCGATGATACCAGTCACATAGCAGATGAGCTGCGCCTTGTTACCACTTCCGATGGTCATGGTCTTCAAGCTAGTCTCCAGATTCAGTCGCAACTTCGCCTCACGAGCCTTGGCCTTGGCGGCTGCAGTATCGTTCGCCGCGGCGCTTGAGGACTCATCGCGCTTGATCTCCTGGATGACCTTGTCAATCGGTTTCTTCTCGGCAATTCTCTCTCTGACATAATCAGAGGCCTGGACAAATTTGCTGATCTTCATTTGGCCATTTTCACTCTCCGCATAGCAAGTATACAAGCCGGAATCATTGCTGCCAAAGTTGTTAATGGTGAGGAGTTTCACTCCGTCGCTCTGCTCCTCATACTGATACTTGGTGCCCTCAACGGGCAGTAGGGTATTATCCCTCTGCCAGTAAATATGTGGCTTGGGACTGCCAGATACCTTGCATTCCAGTGTGAGCTGGTTGCCCTGGGAATGATATGCATCTGGAATATGGACAAAGACAAAGAGACACAACCCAAGACACATAAGACGAAGCACTTTAAAGTTTGGGGGAGTAGGCCTAAAAGGTTGTTAGTTCACTTAAAGTAATTCTAGGACTACGAATAGGGATACACTTAGCTCATCGATACAAAGACATCCACCTGTACGCACTCGGTTGGACAGTTCCCGCCATCACATAGAGAATCCTACCTTTGATGCCAACTACAAATGTGGGCGGAATCACTTCCGCTTTGCCCGTGCTGTACACAAACAAATTGCAAGTGCTCACGATTTCGTTTTCGCTACCCCGGACCCGCAAGGTGTATTCTCCGGCATCCTCTTCTGTGACTCCCACGAGGTTCAACCAGGCGATACCGTCCTGCATGGACATCTTGCTCCTCGGTCCGAAGGCGATTGGTTGGTCGCCAAAGAACCACTTGGCAGTTGGCTCCGGTCCATCGATGTTCACCATCCACTTGACGTTGCTGCCCGATTTAACGGTTCGGTTGGACAGGAAGTTGCGGAAGTACAAACGCTTCCTTAGATCCGGAGGCGGTGGTACCTCGCGCCTGGAGCTGGTTTGCTCCTCCTCGTCCGGCTTGGGCTTCCTGCGGCGCTTCTCGCCACCCTCACCTTCAGGTGCGCCTTCGGCGCCTTCCTCTCCGGCAGCAGGTGCTTCCTCATCGCCGCCCGGACGTGGAGGTCTGCCTTCCCTGGGCGGCGAGATGCGAGGTGCCCTTACACGTGGCTCCACTGTGATCACGTGGACGATCTCGGTCTTGCCCTCGCGGTTCTCCGCCTGGCACACGTACTTGCCGCTGTCCGAAGCCTTCGGGCGACTGATGAACAGCTCGCAGGTGCCGTCATCGTGGTCAACCTGCTGGTACTTATCGCTGTTCTCAATCTTGACGCCATCCTTCACCCACGTAACAGAGGGAGTGGGCAGACCGCGCACATGGACGTCCAGCTGCAGCTCGTTGATCTTGCCGTGCATCGTGTCCTTGATGTTGCGCGTAAAGGTGGGTGGAACATCACCCGTGCCGGGATTCTCGTAAACCTCCAGTCGGCATGAGGTGGATGCTTCTCCAGTCTCGTCGCGACCCCAGCATTTATACTCGCCGTTGTCCTCCGCAGTGGCGCTCATGATCTCCAACAGACACAGACCCTCACTGTACCTTCCTCTGATCTTCGGTGAGTTCTGGATCTGCTCGCCGTCCTTAAACCACTTGACCTGCGGCTCCTTGGCCTCCAAGAAGCATGAGATCTTAACCTTTGAGCCCTCAGCCACCACGCGATCTCTCATTGAGGTGCTGAAGTGGATCGCGATGTTCTTCTCGCGGCGCTTGCTCGACAAACTGGCGGTATCAGAGGCGTAGTCGGTGGCATAGGCCGAGGAGGCTCCATCGTCCTCCTCCTTTTTGGCACGTCTCTTTGCCTTGCCGTCCTCAGCCTCGGATTCCGGCTCGGCAGCAGGAGCTGGCTTCTTCTCCACCGGCTTCTCCACCTCCTTTGGACGCAACAGGCTCTTGTCCGCATGGAACACACCATGGATATTTTCGGCAATGTGATGGGATTGACCTTCGAAGAGCACGTAGTGCGAGATCTCCATCTTGCCGGCGCGACTTTCCGCCTTGACCACATACTTGCCGGAGTCCTTGTTATCCGGCCGATCGATGATGAGCTCACAGGTGCCATCCTGGTGCTCGATGATCTGGAAGCGCCCTCCGCTCTGGATTTCAATGCTGTCCTTAAACCACTGGACCGCCGGTGTAGGCTGACCCCTCACAGCTGTCTCCAGGATCAGTTCGTTGGTATTTAGGTGATAGGTCTCTGAGAGCGAAACACCGAGACTGGTTACATAAAAACATTGCCAGAATAGCATTGCATAATAATTGCAGTCAATGGCAATGCACAATTATACACATTGCTAATTATAGATGATTCGATCGATCTCGAACACTCATCCGATACCCAATACCCAATATCTTACCTTTCAGAGAGCGAATAAAGACGGGTTGCACATCCGTGTTGACCTTGGTCTCGTAGACATGCAGCATGGCGGAGGTGGTGATCTTGCACGACTCGTTCTGGGCTACGATCGAGTAGGTTCCAGAGTCCTCCACCTTGGCATTGGTGAACTCCAGCACCGCCAGGCTGTCGCGGTTCATGTTGCGAATGTTGGGTCCATACGTTACGTTCTGGTCGTCCTTGAACCACTTGATCATGGGCTGGGGTCCACCAATAACAGCCTGCAACTTGACCTTGGATCCCTCGGCCACGTACCGATTGGACAGGTTGACCGTGAAGTACAACATCTGCTTGGGCGAAGGATCCGGCATCCGGCTGCGTCGCTCGTAGCCACCATCGCCGCCTTCGGGCTCATCCTCCTTCTTCTTCTTCTTGCCCTTGGCCTTGGCATCGGCTGCCTCGTCGCCTCCTCCTCCTCCTCCTTCCTGCATGGCAATGGCGGACAGGATGCTCGATCGGCGCGAGGTGTGGGTGGTGTCGACGACAACCGTGTGGGTGGTCGACTGACTGCCCAGTTTGTTCTTGGCGGTGCAGACATAGATTCCGTTGTCATTAATCGTCGGCTTGTTGATGATCAGCTCGCAAATGCCGTCCAAGTGTTCGATCTGAACCACACGATCGTCGAGCACCACGGGTATCTGGTCCTTGGTCCACGAGATTTCAGGGCGGGGGTTGCCGCGCACCTTCGTGTCGAGAATCAGATCGTTCTGCGAGGCATGATACACATCTGAGAACAAAGTCAATCAATCAATTTGGCTATTTTCGTACGCAATCGACCTCAATTGCAACAGAACACCAAACGTCGGACATACAGAAGTACATGGGTACATGGGTCTTTTTGAGGATCGTGTAACCGATAACACTGGGCCACAGAGCACACACATATAGAATGGGCTTGAAATACCTCGCAGTGGTAGGGCGAAAATGGGTTCAGACTCATCGCCATCCGCCTGTGCCGCGTACACCTTGAAGTAGCAGGAGGTCTCGATCTCGCTGAGATCGTTTTTGGCCACACACTTGTAGACACCGGAGTCGGCGGATGTGACGTTGGCGACCTCCAAGATGGCCTTGCCCTCCTCGGAGAGGTTCTTAATATTGCCACCGACCACTACCCACTTGTCGTCCTTCATCCAGCGGGTATTGGGATCGGGTCCAATCACTGTGGCCACAAACTTAATGGTCGACCCCTCGAGCGCCATGCGGTCGCGCAGCTGAGTGGCAAAGGCCAGCTTCTGCTTGGCGGGCACCAGCCTCTCTGGCGTGGCCTTCACAGGATGCAGGCGTGCCTGCTCCTCCTCCGCTTCTGCCCGCCTCTGGTCGGAGTCGGCCTTCGACTTGAGGGCCGCCTCCATGGCCTTCTTGGCCTGCTTCAAGCTGTCTAGCTGGATCTTGTCGCGGGCATGGAAGATGCCGGGTACGTGGTAGTGCAGGTTACGGGCCACCTCGACCGTGTGGTTGATCTGCACCTCGCCACTGGAATTGATGGCTTTCATCGTGTAGATACCGCCATCCTTGTTGCCCGGCTTATAGATGAGCAACTTGCACACACCGTGCGCCTCCTCCAGCATGGTGAACTTGTAGCTGGGCTTCACCTGGAAGCAGCCGCGCCACCAGGTGATCACAGGTCGGGGATAGCCGTGCACGTGACACTCGATGGTCAGCTCATCGTCGCGCAGATGGTAGTACTCTGAAATGGGCAAGTTTTAAGCTCTTAGGTCAGCAGAGGTCAGCAGTCGCGATGCCCGACAAATACCTTTGATATACTGAATGGAGGGGGGTTTGGGTTCGTCCTTGAAAATTTCGTAGATGGTCACAATGCACGACGAGCTCGTCTCGTCGTTCTGGTTCGAGATCACGCACGAGTATTCTCCGGAGTCCAAGATGGTGGTGTTAAGCACCTCCAGCACCAGAATATTATTGTTATTGATGATGCGATGGCATCCATCGCGCTCCAGCTGCTTGCGGTTATGGTACCACTTAGCCGACAGCTCGGGACCATCCACCGCGCAGGCCAGGCGCACACTTTGCCCGGCTTCAACGGCTCGGTCGGACAGGAAATTGATGAACTTGGGATTGCGAGCCTGCTCCCGGCGGCGCTGCCAGTCGGCATCGCGCTCCTTCTCACTGATCCGCTTGGCCTGGCTATATTTGCGCATCTGCTGCATGAACTCCTCGCCCTCGACGGCGGCAATGCGCTGCCAGCGCTCCTCCTCGTGGGGATCGGGGCGGACAAAGTCGTCGGAGGAGTCGCTGCCGCGCCGCTTTTCTTTCTTCTTGGGATCCTCTTCGGGCTCCACATCGATATCGTCTTCAGGATATTCCTGTTCCTGATCCTCGTCTCCATATCCGGCCTCAGTGCCATCTTCACCCTCCTCGCCGACGGCAGATGGATCCTCCTCTTCGTCCTCCTCGGCCTCCGCCTCCGCCTCAGCCTCTTCCTGAGCCCGTTGCTCGGCCTCCAGGCGCTCCTGCTCCTCCTTTTCGGCTTGGAGACGCTTCTGGCGCTCCTCAAAGGTCTCGCCCTTGGGCTTGGCCCTCGCAGCTGCCTCCTCGGCGGCCTTGGCAGCTGCCTTTGCCTGCTCCTCCATCTGGAGCACCATCTTGCTCTTCTTTGGAGGCGGCTTGGCCTGCTGCTGCTGCTGCTCGAACATCTTCTTGCTGGCCTTCTGACCACCGCCGATCTCCAGTTTCAAGGTCAATTTTGGACTGGGAGACTTCTCTTTCTTCTCCTTTTTTTTCGGCGGTGCCTTCTTTTTGCCCTTCTTCACCGGCTCATCGCCTTCGTCCAGGTCCACACTGTCCTCCCTGTCATCGCCGCCATCACCCAAATCGTCGCCATCTTCGGCTCCGGAAGGACTCATGTCCTTGTCAATAGACTTGCGCTGGGTGCGCGGCTTCCTAGCCTTCTTCTCCTTCTTCTTTGGCTTAACCTCCTCAATGATTTCCTCCTCCTCGACCTCCTCGTATTCCTCCACAACGTAGATAACCTCAACGTTGGACACATCCATTACGGCAGCGCGATCGATCACCGACAAATCGGAAGTTATGTAACGCACGGGCTTTTGCACATCCAACGGCTCGGAAATATCCATAACGAGAGCGCGATCGAAGACGGCGATGTTGCAGGTGGTCTGGCTCTTGATGTCCCTGCCCAGCTCGAAGGGAGTCTTCTCCTTCTCCTCGCGATTCAGGAACGGAGTAATGCTGCGCCATGTCGAGGGCGTGGCGCTGCGTCGCGTCATGTACAGCGTGAACGGGGTCTGGCTCCGGCCGTGAATGGGCGTGGCACTGCGTCCACGGAGGCTTCCTGGAGTTGGGGACTTAAGCTTGCGCTTCTTTTGCGTTGGCACCTGCAGGGTATCCTGGGCGGATGCCGCCTCCGGCTCGGCGGAGGCACGTGGCTCGATATCTCCGTTCTCTGTTTCTCCCATTTCGGATCGTTTTCGTACGGCCTCTTTCGGTTTTGGAAGGATATAATTCGTAAATGAGAACCGAAAAAAATGTTATCCGTCCGAGTCGTATATGTATGACTGTGATCAATATATATAGCCCGCAACGGTTCGATCGAGAATTTTTAGGACGTGAGACGTCCGTTCGATGCAAAAGAAGATTCACGACTGTCACCGAACGTGGTGAAAATTTCGAAAGCACATTCCTTCTCGAATCGATCCTAGTCCCCCAAAATCGATTGTTAATGCTAAAAACAATTTTACGAATTCTGTTTTGTTTGCTGCCGACGTCGCACACACACACATGCAACACTAATTGCCAAAATGCGATTCTATTTAAATACCAGACACTTTTTTAATTGAATACATACAGTAAACGAAGTTATATAAGTGTGAGCACCGCATCCATTCGAATTAAATTAGCTATTTTTATGGGGGTTCTATTTAAATGCGATGATAAAGAGCACCGTTTACCTTTATCATTGATCACTTGCCATATTTGCGAACCGAAAGTGCGAATCGATTTGTTAGTCAAGCAGCAAATACGCCCGACACATCATAAAGTACGCGACTTATTCTAGCCTTACGAACTAGTTTCCTATATACTAGGTCTATACTACACATGCATTTGTATATACATATATACTTGCAGATGCAAATGCAAGGTGCACTATGCGAATTTAAAGCAATTCAGCACTAATTAAGTTTGAAATTCGGGCATTGGATCACTAGGTAGATGGGCACAATTGGCACTTACCTCTAATGTTGCGTGTAAATATGGGCGGAGTGCCAAATTTACTTGAAGGTGCTTCGTATATAGTCACAAGACAGCTAGTTTCGACTTCTCCATTTTGATTGGACGCTATGCATCGATAAATGCCAGAGTCACCCAGTTCGGCCGATTTGATTTCAAGGCACGACAGTCCGTCGTTCAATGTTCTCCTGTACTTGGCACCATTCTCGATGGGGCAGTTATCCTTGAACCACTGCACATTCATCTCGTGACCAGATAGCCCACAAGTCAGCTTGAGGTCGCTGCCAGACGCCGTGTTTCGGTTGGTTAGTTGGATGTCAACAGTTGGCTTCCGCTTGGCACTTCGGGATTCCTTTCGGTCCTTGTACTCAGAGTCCATGGACTTGTATGTCTGCAGGCTAATAGAATCTGCTGTTGGTTCAGCTTCATACGGCTTTCGTTTTGCAACAACCAGTTCTTCATCCAGAACAGTTAGTTTCTTTGCTCCAAGTTGATCTGTTTTTTCAGCTTCAATCTTTACAGGAACCGAAGCGAACACCTTGGCCTCCTGCCTCTTTTCATCGTCGGCGATCCCATCTCGTTTCTGTTCCCTTATACCTCGCATCTCTTCATCGACTGATTTTTTATCTGATACCGTTGACTTATTAGATTTTGAGTCCTTAATTTCGGGAGTTTTAATTCCATCGACCTTTTCTTCAGATATCTTTTCGGGAACAACCTCGGCAACCCCACCCTTTTGGGATTTGTCAGCAGCACCGTCCTCCTTCTGCTTTTTGCCATTATCATCGAGTTTCTCTTTTGAGATTGATTTCTTCTCCAGGACCTTCGCTTTCTTGGGTTTGGCTTCAGAGTCCTTAAGTTCCACCTTACGGCTTTCTTCTGCCTTCTCTTCAGATATCTTTTCCGAAACGATTTCGGAAACATCAGCCGTTTGAGATTTTGTATCCGAAGCGACATTTATCTGTGCTTCTTTTTTTTCGTCCAGCACTTCTTCTACGGATTTCTTCTCCACCACCTTTGTCTTCTTAGATTTGGCATCAGATTTCTTAACGTCCGCCTTTTGGCTTTCATGTGACTTCTCTTCAGAAATCTTTTCGGTAACTATTTCGGACACCTGAGCCTTTTCGGATTTTTTATCAATAGTGGATTCCGTCTGTTCTTCTTTCTTTTCATCCAGTTTCTCTTCTTCGATTGATTTCTTGTCCAAAACCTTCGCCTTCTTAGGTTTAGCTTCAGAATCCTTAACTTCCTCCTTTTGGCTTTCTTCTACCTTCTCTTCAGTAATCTTTTCGGTAACTATTTCGGACACCTGAGCCTTTTCGGATTTTTTATCAATAGTGGACTCCGTCTGTTTTTCTTTCTTTTCATCCAGTTTCTCTTCTTCGATTGATTTCTTGTCCAACACTTTCGCCTTCTTAGGTTTAGCTTCAGAATCCTTAACTTCCTCCTTTTGGCTTTCTTCTACCTTCTCTTCAGTAATCTTTTCGGTAACTATTTCGGACACCTGAGCCTTTTCGGATTTTTTATCAATAGTGGACTCCGTCTGTTTTTCTTTCTTTTCATCCAGTTTCTCTTCTTCGATTGATTTCTTGTCCAAAACCTTCGCTTTCTTAGGTTTAGCTTCAGAATCCTTAACTTTCTCCTTTTGGCTTTCTTCTGCCTTCTCTTCAGTAATCTTTTCGGTAACTATTTCGGACACCTGAGCCTTTTCGGATTTTTTATCAATAGTTGTCTCCGTCTGTTTTTCTTTCTTTTCATCCAGTTTCTCTTCTTCGATTGATTTCTTGTCCAAAACCTTCGCCTTCTTAGGTTTAGCTTCAGAATCCTTAACTTCCTCCTTTTGGCTTTCTTCTACCTTCTCTTCAGTAATCTTTTCGGTAACTATTTCGGACACCTGAGCCTTTTCGGATTTTTTATCAATAGTGGACTCCGTCTGTTTTTCTTTCTTTTCATCTAGTTTCTCTTCTTCGATTGATTTCTTGTCCAAAACCTTCGCCTTCTTAGGTTTAGCTTCAGAATCCCTAACTTCCTCCTTTTGGCTTTCTGCCTTCTCTTCAGTAATCTTTTCGGTAACTATTTCGGACACCAGAGCCTTTTCGGATTTTTTATCAATAGTGGACTCCGTCTGTTTTTCTTTCTTTTCATCCAGTTTCTCTTCTTTGATTGATTTCTTGTCCAAAACCTTCGCTTTCTTAGGTTTCGCTTCAGAATCCTTAACTTCCTCCTTTTGGCTTTCTTCTGCCTTTTCTTCAGTAATATTTTCGGTAACTATTTCGGACACCTGAGCCTTTTCGGATTTTTCATGAATAGTGGACTCCGTCTGTTTTTCTTTCTTTTCATCCAGTTTCTCTTCTTTGATTGATTTCTTGCCCAAAACCTTCGCTTTCTTAGGTTTAGCTTCAGAATCCCTAACTTCCTCCCTTTGGCTTTCTGCCTTCTCTTCAGTAATCTTTTCGGTAACTATTTCGGACACCTGAGCCTTTTCGGATTTTTTATCAATAGTTGTCTCCGTCTGTTTTTCTTTTTTTTCATCCAGTTTCTCTTCTTCGATTGATTTCTTGTCCGAAACCTTCGCCTTCTTAGGTTTTGCTTCAGAATCCTTAACTTCCTCCTTTTGGCTTTCTTCTGCCTTCTGTTCAGTAATCTTTTCGGTAACTATTTCGGACACCTGAGCCTTTTCGGATTTTTTATCAATAGTTGTCTCCGTCTGTTTTTCTTTCTTTTCATCCAGTTTCTCTTCTTCGATTGATTTCTTGTCCAAAACCTTCGCTTTCTTAGGTTTAGCTTCAGAATCCTTAACTTTCTCCTTTTGGCTTTCTTCTGCCTTCTCTTCAGTAATCTTTTCGGTAACTATTTCGGACACCTGAGCCTTTTCGGATTTTTTATCAATAGTGGACTCCGTCTGTTTTTCTTTCTTTTCATCTAGTTTCTCTTCTTCGATTGATTTCTTGTCCAAAACCTTCGCCTTCTTAGGTTTAGCTTCAGAATCCTTAACTTCCTCCTTTTGGCTTTCTTCTGCCTTCTCTTCAGTAATCTTTTCGGTAACTATTTCGGACACCTGAGCCTTTTCGGATTTTTTATCAATAGTGGACTCCGTCTGTTTTTCTTTCTTTTCATCTAGTTTCTCTTCTTCGATTGATTTCTTGTCCAAAACCTTCGCCTTCTTAGGTTTAGCTTCAGAATCCTTAACTTCCTCCTTTTGGCTTTCTTCTGCCTTCTCTTCAGTAATCTTTTCGGTAACTATTTCGGACACCAGAGCCTTTTCGGATTTGTTATCAATAGTGGACTCCGTCAGTTTTTCTTTCTTTTCATCCAATTTCTCTTCTTCAATGGATTTCTTCTCAATAATCTTCGTTTTCTTAGACATAGCTTCAGAGTCCCTAACCTCCTTCTTAAGGCTTTCGTCTGCCTTATTTTCTTTTATATTCTTTTCATCAATATCTTCCACAATATCTGCCTCTGCATCTGACACGCTGTGCAACATTTGAGCTTGTTTTTCAGTCAATTGTTTAAGTTCTTCAATTATAGTTAAAGTATTTTGCGAAACAACTTTAATCTTTCCATTTATTACAGTTGTTAAAAGTGGTTCATCTTTTTTCTCAATATAATCATAGTCATTGAGCAACGTTGTTTTAATATTTTCAATTTTTGGTCTTAAAATTTCCGTCTCCTCATCTAAAAAGTCATCAAGAATTACGAAAATATCCATTAAACTCTGTTGCAAACTTATCATTTTTTCCGACGACTTATCAACATATGTTTCTGATTGAATTTTTACTGCAACTCTTTCCAAATTTAAAATTTTGGGGATTAATAAGGACGGTTTGGTAAACATATTACAGTCGTCGATTAGTTTAATAGTTGCTTTTGTTAAAATCACATTGGTTTTAATTTCCTTAAGGTAATTGTGTTTTACTTTCTCGGCTGCTTCAACAGAAGCCTCGCACAGCGATTCAATTATTGATTCAAAGAGTTCTTTCTCTTTTTTTTCTTTTTCTGTTTTTCCGTCGTAGGTGTGAACTATATGGTCACTTAATTTGAATAAAAGTTTTGCCACTACTTCAGAATCTTCAAGGTTATTGACGATATCACGACTTTCTGCCAAAATGTCATCGCAACTATAGCCTACTGCTTTGGATAATGCCTGGAGCCTTTCGTTCAATGTCCTTATAATATCTTCTCGAGATTTTCCATCCTGATTAGGTTGCTTTTGTGCTTTAACCTCTAGTTGCTTTTCATCCAGGGCTTGTTTTTCCAAGGCTTTGGATTCCTCTAATTCAACTTCAGGTTTCTTGGCTTTTTCAATCTTTTCTTCAGATATCTTCTGAGCTACGACCTCAGATACTTCTGGTTTCTGGGATTTTTGATCGGCATCCTGATCAGCTTGCTTTTGTGCACTATCCTCAAGTTGCTTTTCTTCCAGTGCTTGTTTATCAAGGGCTTCCGCTTTCTGTGATTGCACTTCAGTGTCCTTTACTTCAGGCTTCTTGGTTTCTTCAATCTTTTCCTTAGATATCTTCTCAGCTACAACCGCAGATACTTCTGGTTTCTGCGGCTTCTGTTCGACATTCTGATCAGCTTGCTTTTGTGCACTATCCTCAAGTTGCTTTTCTTCCTGTGCTTGTTTATCCAAAGCTTTGGCTTTCTCAGACTTAACTTCAGTATCCTTTAATTCAAGTTTCTTGGGTTCTTCAATCTTTTCCTCAGATATCTTCTCAACTACGACCTCAGATACTTCTGGTTTCTGGGATTTTTGGTGGACCTCCTGATCAGCTTGCTGTTGTGCACTATCCTCAAGTTGCTTTTCTTCCAGTGCTTGTTTATCCAAGGCTTTGGCTTTCTCTGATTTAACTTCAGTGTCCTTTAATTCAGGTTTCTTGGTTTCTTTAATCTTTTCCTCGGATATCTTCTCAGCTACAACCTCAGATACTTCTGGTTTCTGGGATTTTTGGTCAACATCTTGATCAGCTTGCTTTTGTGCACTATCCTCAAGTTGCTTTTCTTCCAGTGCTTGTTTAACAAAGGCTTTGGCTTTCTCTGATATAACTTCAGTGTCCTTTACTTCAGGTTTCTTGGGTTCTTCAATCTTTTCTTCAGAAATCTTCTCAGCTACGACCTCAGATACTTCTGGTTTTTTGGACTTCTGGTCGACCTCCTGATCAGCTTGCTTTTGTGCACTATCCTCAATTTGCTTTACTTCCAGTGCTTGTTTATCCAAGGCTTTGGCTTTCTCTGATTTAACTTCAGTGTCCTTTACTTCAGGTTTCTTGGATTCTTCAATCTTTTCCTCAGATATCTTCTCAGCTACGACCTCAGATACTTCTGGTTTTTGCGATTTTTGGTCAACATCTTGATCAGCTTGCTTTTGTGCACTACCCTCAAGTTGCTTTTCTTCCAGTGCTTGTTTATCCAAGGCTTTGGCTTTCTCTGATTTAACTTCAGTGTCCTTTACTTCAGGTTTCTTGGATTCTTCAATCTTTTCCTCAGATATCTTCTCAGCTACGACCTCAGATAATTCTGGTTTTTGGGGCTTCTGGTCGACATCCTGATCAGCTTGCTTTTGTGCACTTGTGTCTAGTTCCTTTTCTTCCAGAGCTTGATTATCCAAGACTTCGGCTTTCTGTGATTTCTCTTCAGTTTCCTTTACTTCAGGTTTCTTGGATTCTCCAATCTTTTCCTCAGATATCTTCTCAGCTACGACCTCAGATACTTCTGGTTTCTGGGATTTTTGGTCGGCATCCTGATCAGCTTGCTTTTGTGCACTATCCTCAAGTTGCTTTTCTTCCAGTGCATGTTTATCCAAGGCTTTGGCTTTCTCTGATTTAACTTCAGTGTCCTTTACTTCAAGTTTCTTGGATTCTTCAATCTTTTCCTCAGATATCTTCTCAGCTACGACCTCAGATACTTCTGGTTTTTGCGATTTTTGGTCAACATCTTGATCAGCTTGCTTTTGTGCACTATCCTCAAGTTGCTTTTCTTCCAGTGCTTGTTTATCCAAGGCTTTGGCTTTCTGTGATTTCTCTTCAGTTTCCTTTACTTCAGGTTTCTTGGATTCTTCAATCTTTGCCTCAGATATCTTCTCAGCTACGACCTCAGATACTTCTGGTTTTTGGGGCTTCTGGTCGACATCCTGATCAGCTTGCTTTTGTGCACTTGGGTCTAGTTCCTTTTCTTCCAGAGCTTGATTATCCAAGGCTTCGGCTTTCTGTGATTTCTCTTCAGTTTCCTTTACTTCAGGTTTCTTGGATTCTTCAATCTTTTCCTCAGATATCTTCTCAGCTACGACCTCAGATACTTCTGGTTTCTGGGATTTTTGGTCGGCATCCTGATCAGCTTGCTTTTGTGCACTATCCTCAAGTTGCTTTTCTTCCAGTGCTTGTTTATCCAAGGCTTTGGCTTTCTCTGATTTAACTTCAGTGTCCTTTACTTCAAGTTTCTTGGATTCTTCAATCTTTTCCTCAGATATCTTCTCAGCTACGATCTCAGATACTTCTGGCTTTTGCGATTTTTGGTCAACATCTTGATCAGCTTGCTTTTGTGCACTAGCCTCTAGTTGCTTTTGTTCCAGGGCTTGTTTATCCAAGGCTTCGGCTTTCTGTGATTTCACTTCAGTGTCCTTTACTTCAGATTTCTTGGGATCTTCAATCTTTTCTTCAGAAATCTTCTCAGCTACGACCTCAGATACTTCTGGTTTCTGGGACTTCTGGTCGACATCCTGATCAGCTTGCTTTTGTGCACTAGCCTCTAGTTGCATTTCTTCCAGGGCTTGTTTATCTAAGGCTTCGGCTTTCTGTGATTTCACTTCAGTGTCCTTTACTTCAGGTTTCTTGGTTTCTTCAATCTTTTCCTCAGATATCTTTTCAGCTACGACCTCAGATACTTCTGGTTTTTGGGACTTCTGGTCGGCATCCTGATCAGCTTGCTTTTGTGCACTATCCTCAAGTTGCTTTTCTTCCAGTGCTTGTTTATCCAAGGCTTTGGCTTTCTCTGATTTAACTTCAGTGTCCTTTACTTCAGATTTCTTGGGTTCTTCAATCTTTTCTTCAGAAATCTTCTCAGCTACGACCTCAGATACTTCTGGTTTCTGGGACTTCTGGTCGGCATCCTGATCAGCTTGCTTTTGTACACTATCCTCAAGTTGCTTTTCTTCCAGTGCTTGTTTATCCAAGGCTTTGGCTTTCTCTGATTTCTCTTCAGTTTCCTTTACTTCAGGTTTCTTGGATTCTTCAATCTTTTCCTCAGATATCTTCTCAGCTACGACCTCAGATACTTCTGGTTTCTGCGGCTTCTGTTCGACATTCTGATCAGCTTGCTTTTGTGCACTATCCTCTAGTTGCTTTTCTTCAAGGGCTTGTTTATCGAAGACTTCATCTAAAGAATCTGCCTGGCCTGATTTAATGTCGGTATCAATCTCCAGTTGCTGGGGTTCTTTTAAAATGTCTCGTTCTATTGAATGGTCAACAACATCTTCAATTTCAGATTTTTTGATATCTCCTGCTGCATCCTTATTTTGGTTTTGACTTTCAATAATTTGTTTAAAATCTTCACAAATATAAAGAATCTTTTCAGTAATTAATTGTATTTTTCCAAAAACTACAGCAGTATGGAGTTGCCCATCTTTTTTCTCAATATAGTCATATTCACTCAGTAATATTTTTTTTATTTCTTCTATTTTCGGATTTATTCTTTCCGTTCTTTCATCTAGGAGGTCATCAAATATGATAAATATATCCATCAAATTCTGTTGCAGGCCAATCATTTCTTTTGATGACTTATCAATAAGTTTTTTCGGTTGAGTTTTTTCCGAAAGTTTTTCAAGATTTACTAGTTTCGGAACTAGCAGAGACGGCTTAGTGAACATGTTGCTATCATCAATAAGTTGGATTGCCGCTTTTGTTAAAATAATGTTGGTTTTAATTTCTTTAATGTAGGTTTGAATTACGTGGTCAGTGGCTTCTGGACAGGCTTCGAATAGGGATTCAATAAGTTCTTCAACAAGTTCCTTCTCTGTCTGTTCCTCTGGTGGCATGCCATCATAGGTGTGAACAATGTGCTCTCTTAACTTGAATATAGACTTTGAAACTTTTTCGATATTATCAATATTATCTAGAATATCTTGGCACTCTGTCATGATCGTTTTAACTGCTTCATTTTGTGTAGCATTGTTAGAAGATTGCGATAATTTTTCCGTTAGTGCTTCCAAAATAGTTTCTGGGGATGCCTTTTGGGACACAACTTCAGTTGGTTTTTCCTCATCATCCACCTCTTTTTTTCCCAATTGCTGTTCACTGTCTTGGTGTTGTTCTTGTTCAGATATTTTATCTGCCTTCTGATCATCTTTTTTAGCGGCCAACTCAATTTGGTTTTGAAGCTTTGAGTCTGCTTCAATCTCCTTCTTGTTTTCATCCACTGTGTTCTTAGGGCCTTCTTGTTTGTAAGAATCCAGTTGTTGATCAGATTCCAACATTTTGGGTCTTTTAGCCTCGGGTTCAACGTCCTCCTGGCTTCCTGATCCCTCTTTAATATCGATGTCAGTATCCAACGCTGATTCGGGTGAGGAGACATCCGATTGACTTTGAAGTTCGGAAAGAAACACGTTCAGTTTGTTAAGATTTTTCTGAAGATTACTGATCTGCAGCTGCAGTGCATCTATGAGGGCAAACTGCTCAGTGGTTATCTGAGTGAGTTGGGGTTGAGAAAGGATTTCTTTCTCAATTTGCACAAGAGTTGCCTCTAGCTGAGCAATGTCGTCCGTATTTTCATCTACCAAAAGAATACATGTCGGGTTATGCGCTCGAAGTCCTTTCTCGATTTCGGTAAGGAACGCTTTTCCAGACGAAACGTTTTCTATAATTATGCCTATATCGATTGGTACTGTGGGCTCAACATGAATTGCAGACAATGCCTTCAGTTCCGCAGTAATGGAATCCATTTCCTGTAAAAGTTCTATGACACGAATTGTATTGTCATTACCCTCAATAAAATCAAAGACAGCCACTAAGCTGCTTTGAGTCTTTAAAAGGCCACCTAAAACTTCGTTACTAATCAGATCGCTGACATCGTTTATACTCCGGAAAGCAGCCATTAGACTAGTCTGAAGCTGAACAACAACTGAAGACGATTTCTCCACGTCTACGGTGGGCTGGGCGGCCACAGCTCCAATGGAACTTACTAGATTTTCAATAGGTTGCTTTAGAGTTTTTAATTTTTGATAATCCACAGCGTCTGGGCGCTCACAGAAGACAACAAAGTTGGCAAAGGCCTTTTCGATTTTGGCGAACATTTCCTCGGCCAACTGCGTTTCTAGTATTGGTAACGAAAGCAGTATGTCTTCAAAGGCACTCTCTACGTTCTCCAAGGAGTCCACTAAACCAGATTCATAAGTGTGCACCAAGCACTCCTTCAATCTGAACATGGTGCGAGCTATTTCCGCCTGGGCCAGAACGGTTTCCTGTTGAACGGTATCAGTGACAAGGGAAATCTGTATGTTCTCAAGATCTGACTTCAGTTGCTCCATTATTTTGCCAACTTGCTGAAGCTCTTTATTGGCATCCGTCTGGGTGACTTCCAGACAGGCTTCCAATTGCTTGATGCCACTGGCGACACCTTGTTGTATATCGAATACATCCACTTGCGGCTCTTCCTCCACGACGGCTACTTCCTGGATGTGATCTGATACGGTTTGCTGATGGCCGCTGCTCTTAAGCTCAGAGATATCTCCCTGCGTGGATATATCAGTGACATTTTCCAAGAGTTGCACATCAATCTGCTCACAGTATTGCCTCACATCGTGCAATGGAGTGGCCAAAGTCTTGAGCTTGGACAATTCGAGATCAGTCAAACTCTCGACGCCACTATGGGCCATGCACTCCTCCACCTGAAGAACACAGCGCTCCAAGCTGCAGAGGGCTTCGGCGAAGGTTCCCTGTTGACTGGCCTCTGACATGGAATGAGCTGCTTCTATCAAGTTGGTTTCCTGAACCACTGCCAAACTACTTTGCAGCTCTTGCATCTTAACGAGGGCTGCCTGTACCTGCTGTGCAGCTGTTCCCGACAGAGAAACCACGTCAGGATCTTCACAATGCGAAAGGACCGATGTGATTCCCTGGTTCAAATCAGACAGTAAAACATCAATAGTCGATGGTTTCTCTGGACTTGTGGGCACACCCGCATCCGGATCAGTGGGCAAAGACTCTGCGGCTGACTTAAGCACTGACACATCATCCAAGGTGGATAAGTCCTCCATTGAAGCTCTCGGGGGCTTCAAATTTTGGAGCACATGAATCAGACTAGAGAGCGGACTGGCTATGGAAAGTTTCTCATCCATTGACTCCTTTTGTTGGCCAACAATGTCACCAAACTGATTCAGTGCATTTATGAATTCACTCTCAGTCAAGGATTCGGCAGTGTGTAGGGCTTTAGCCAAGTCAGCAAAACTTTTGCCGCACTCGAAGAGAATTCTAGTTGTGTTGGCCTCGTTGACGTCGAGAGTTGTTTCTGCCTCGCTAAATGTCGCCAGTCCTTTAGCAATTTGCAGGATGCGAAGAAGGTACACTTGGGCTTCGTTTGAGGAGGTCTTTACTCGTTCGGAGGCCTTGGGACTTTCGCTTACTTTATTTAACGCCTCCTGCAGGGTTTCTATGTTGGCAACAGCTTCCTCCAGGGACACCTTGGTCTCCAACACCTTCCGCAGGGCACTGAATGATTTGTCCTGCTGCTGTGACGCTTGCTCCTCATCCTGTTGAATCTCCTGCTGCAGAATCTTAAACTCGTGCTCTTCTATATCGATGACCACGTTGCGGATGAGGCTGCGTATATTGTCCAGGGTCTGAAGAGCCTGCTGATCGGGATCCCGAGCGACCAGCAAACGTTGGTGACCTTTTTGGGTGTTCTCCTGCAACATACTCAGTGGTTCAATCAGGTCGGCTAAGGAACCGGTCATATTCTTGACCTCTGTCTGACGGATGCAGTAGTTTAGCTCGTCGACGGGCCGCTTTAGTCTGTCCAGCAATTCTACATGATGTCCGGTAATTTCCCTTTCCAAAATGGAGCCTATTAGAGCTGACAGTTCATCCTTGAGGTTCAGCAAGCGAATCTTAACGTTAGGGGAGAGTCGGGCAGAGATCCTCTCGATGTTGGTCTCAAAATGCAAGACCGCCTGGGCAAATGATTGTAAAAGTTTCTGGGTATCTGCCACACCCAATACTGGCTCTGATCGCAGTTCCTCCTGAGGCACGGAGTTCTGACCACTTTCCAGTTCTTGTCCCAGCTGCGCGAGGCCGTTTTGAATCTCTTGCAAGGGGGGCACCATTGATTCCACAGTGCTAACTGTCCGCATTCCTCCCTCCACGCTACCAGAATTTTCATTAAGGATTACTTCCAGGCCCTTTTTGAGCTCGAAAAGAGGTGGCGTAACAATGTCCAGAATGGCCATGTTTATTTTCTGCTCAATTGACTCGGATCCCGCAAGGGACTCCGTCTTATCTTCAATGGACTGCAGTGTGCTTTGGAGCTGCTTAATCGGCTCCACAATGCTCTCAAGCACCTTCTGGTGCACCTTCTTGTAGATCTGCTCCTCGGACTCCTCCAGCGATAGCTCCATTTCAACGCGCTCCAGAGCTTCCTGTATCTTTGCCACCGGTTGGCAAATCTCCTTTAGAGCGCTTGCTTCGCTGGGCAGATTGGCCTCCGAAATGGTGGCAAAGGACATGGAATCGGGTACTTCCTGCATTTTTTCAACCGTTTCCGAAAAATGCTTTGCTGCCTCCAGTTCCTGCGCCTCCTGCAGAAGAGCCTGCGACTTAATTGTGCCCTGCGTGATCTCTAATCCCTGCTGGATGTCATCGGCAGTCAGTTCGATTTGGGCCCGTAGACACTCCGACTCGAACTTCCTGCTAACGATTTTGAGCTCTTCCAGCGCTCTCTTCATTTGCTCGGCCACGCTGTCAATGATGCAGACACTGGTGCGTTGGATGAGCGTGGCTCCAGTCTCGTCGATCTCCACGCATTTTTCAATGACCTGCAGACCCAAGTGCAGTTGGCGGATATCCTCATCCATCGATTGGATGAGGGCGTCGATTTGAGTCTCACCAGAGTATACCCTTAATTTCGATTCGATTTGCTTGATAGGATCGATTATATTGCGGATGATGGCTATGCTCTGATCCGCTGCCGACGGGGTCATCATCATGGTGGACTGTTCCATCACCTCATTCTCGACGGCACTCAAATGATTGTCGATAACCTTCAGCAACTTTGCGAGCGGAACGAGGGCAATCAGATTTTTATTAATCTCATGCTCATCGGTAACAACCCTTGCATGGGAGGATGGTGTTACCATCAGTCCGTCGCCCACTGCACCCGAAATATCCTGCAGGCGAGCATCATCCTCAGTTGTCTTGGAGGAATCGGTGTCTGTGGGTTTTTTTGACTTCTTACGCTTTGGCGGTGGCACTGAATCTTTGTCCTTCTCCGGACTACCTTGTGCACCAGAGGCGGCCTTTTGGGATGCGGACATCTGGGCACTGGCAAAGGTTTGCAGCTCGGATGTCTCCTCCTCACCTTGACTGCCAGAGGCCGAGGCTTTGGATAAGCTGAAGAACTCATCTGTTTCCGTGGGCTTGGACTTCTTTCGCTTTCGTATAGGAGCCGATAGCGACAGTTCCTCCTCCATTTTGTCAAAGGACTGCTGCACATACTGCTCAGTCTCCTTGTCCACACGGCCTTCCCTTCCCGAAGAGCCGTGTACCGTGATCTCGTTTATGGAAATGTCATCCATATCAGCCTCAGTTCGCATATCGTCCTCGACTGTAAAATATTCTGGTGAAATGTCAATGACCACCGCTTCCATCAGCAGTTTTCCCGATTGCGAGGTCTCCTTGACGAAGCGCAGAGGTGGCAGTTCGACGATGTTGTGCTCAGTAACATGCTCCGAGATTTGATCGGCATACATTTCCACAATCTTCAGGGCTTCCTCCTCCGTAAGATCGGGAGTCTCGTAGAGTGATACCGATACCTCCTTGCCGTCGAAGGAGAAGGACACGTCGCCCTTTTCATCGATGGTTATGTCACCGACTGGCGTCTCGTACAGCTGAGAAGTGCGCTCCTCCTGGATGGTGGACAGGGAGTAATTCCTCTGTAGCTCATTCTCGTGGAGCTGCTCGCTCTTCTGCTGCTGGCTTCTCTGGGCATCCTCGAAGCCCAGAAGGGATGCCGAACTGGCAACGATACCCATGCAGTTCTTAGCCTCGCACGTGTAAGTGCCCAGGCAGCAGGTGCCATCCTGTCCAGAAATAATCCGGTGAATGTCGCCCGGTTTCAGCTCCACCCCATCCTTGTACCACTTGAGGGCGGGCTGGGGAACACCGATGACCTTGCACTCCAGATTCACGGCTCCCTCCTCAGTGAGCACAGCGCGCAGGCATTCCAGGAAGCGGGGCTTCTTGTAGTGCCGCGGTATCTGCAGCTTCAGGAAACAGGAGGTGATGCTGGTGCCGAAATCGTTGACGGCAACGCACTTCCACTCCGCTTGGTCCACAAACTCCACGGCCTTAATGTCCAGCAGCCAGTCTTCGTTTTCACCACGACAATGGTTATATCTTTCGTTTGGATCAATGGGCAGCTCGTCGCGGAACCAGGAAAGTATTGGATCCGGAGTGGCCTTCACCACCACCTTGAACTGAAAGGGTTCGTTGATCTTAGCATCCGTGCTTTTCAGTCCAGTTAGAAACTTTGGCGCTTGGTTCTGACTTTGTTGGGTGAAGACAAGTCGCTCCTCGTCGGTCAGTTGGTTCTGAATGTCCTCCACGGTGAGGACGGCAGTGCTGCTGGTCTCTCCCATGCAATTGCGCGCAATGCAGCAGTAGGTGCCCAATGAGTTGGTGCCCGTCAGCTGGTAGACATCGCCCGGCTTCAGTTCGTGGCCATCCTTGAACCACTTGAGAATGGGCGTGGGAAAGCCCACCACCTTGCACTCGAAGGACACCAGTCCCTCCTCGGTGAGCACGGCGCGCAGACTCTCCATGAACCTGGGCTTGCGATAGTTCCTGGGTACTAAAGAAACACATGGTTTATAAAAGGTCTGGTCTAGTAATACAGGATCATTCCAATCCACTCACTGTCCATGGCAACGGAACACGTTGAAATGCCCATACTGCCATCGAAGCTGGTCACCACGCATTTCCATTCGCCGGCATCGCAGGACTCCGATGGCTTCACCTCGATCATGTAGACGCCCAGACCGTCCTCGATCAGCTTGTACCGCTCGGCGGTCTCCACCCGGCCGCTCGCATTGTACCAGCAGACGCTCTTCGGCCACGGCGGCACCACCACTGCGGAATGGAGGAAAGATCAGGTGTGAGATCATGCGAGATCATGTAAACAATCTGCCCGAGCGCCCATCTCTGCCTTCTCGTTTTATGTATTCCTGTTGCTCGCTTTATTTATCTTCTCTCTGGCGGGCAATTAGCGGTTTTGTTTTGATCGCAAATGTTGATGACCCACCTCAACATTCGAGGCATTCCGATTCCGATTCCGAATCGTGCGATCGAGTTCAAGTTTCTAGAGCACGATCTAAAAACAACAAGCGCCGGCGAGAATTGGACCAATTTTCGCCAGCACGCCCAAGTGCCCGAGAGAAGATAAACAAAAATACGTTGGCCCAGTGCCAGCAGGAGATCTCCGCTGATCCACTAGCCAGTGCTCCGAGTGCTCACCTTGACAGCCGAGAATGATGGTCTCCCCAATGAGCAGGCTCATGTCTCGCAGTTCGTTCGTGAATATCGGTGGCGGAGCATTGCCTGCCACGCTGCGGGAAGATAAAAACATCCGTACAACTTGAGAATCCCATTTGATATATCCCATTAATAGGTAATTATATTTACAATGTAAAAGAAATGCCCATAAATGAATCTTATTCTCAAAGGCAACAGTGCGTATGAGTAATTAAGTGTTAGCTCACCTGTCCGCCGGCTTGAGGGATCCCTCGCGACTTCCGCGTCCCACCACATGCACCTTGGAGCTGGAGTAGTTGACGCCCATGCAGTTGCGCGCCTCGCAGGTGTACGTGCCCAGTGAGGTGGGGTCATCGGCGTTGGCGGTCAGGGCGAATATGTCGCCGGCCTTGATCTCCTTGGAGTCCTTGAACCAGCGCAAATGGGGCGTGGGCACACCCACCACCTTGCACTCCAGCGAGACGGTTCCCTGCTCCGTGAGCACTGCGCGCAGTTCCTCCACGAACTCGGGTGTTTTGTAGGCCTTCGGCACCAAGACATTCAGCATTCCCAGGCAGGAGTTTCGTCCGCCGAAGTTCTCCGCCATGAGCATCCACTGACCGCCGTCGTCCAGCGTCACGGGACTAATCTCCAAGTAGTGGAAGGTGCCCTCATTGACCTCAGTGATGCGGTCGTTCTCGCAGACTCTTCGGTCATTTCTGTACCAGGTGAGCTAGAGAATAAGGTATCATTTTAGCTAAATTAATAAACCAATTCAAAACATTGTAACCTAATGGACTTCAAGCTCACCTTAAGATCTGTTGAGCTGCGTATTTCGGTTAGGAGGCGTGTCCGGGTGCCCACTTTCACGGATAGGTCGGGCAGGCGGCGCAGGAACACCGGCGGATCGTCGCCCGTGGATCTGTCCTCCACGATGAGCTCCACGTGCCTGCGCACCACATCCTTGCTCTTCGTCCGGGCGAACAGCGTGTAGTGGCCGGCGTCCTCCCGCTGCACATGCTCCACGGCCAGTTGGACGGCATTGCTGGTGGCCGTGATGCGGAAGCGGTCGGAGTTCTCAATGGGAATCTCACCCCGGCTCCTGCAAGTACAGCAGCATTAGGGTTAAACCACCCAAAAGGGCGTCTTAATGAAGCTCCATAAAGCACTCGAATCCCTTGGAAACCATTCTAATAGATCACCTTTTCCTGTAGACCGACGAGGCCGAGGAGAGTGCGCCGTTGAGTTGCTTGTGCTCATTGCACTGGCAGCATTTGGAACATCCGTTGCCCATGGCGTTTTATTTTGTTTTTGTTTTTTAATTTTAACCGATACTGCAATCGGTTACGGTTGAAAGCAGATTGCACCAATATTCGTTTCGATTAGTGGAACTCGTTAGAATTTACTATAATTTCCAATTTAAGCCCCACGGAATGTTATACTCATTTTATTTTCAAATGCTCCACTTGTTTATATAAAAGACCGTTTTTTTTTCGGAAAACTTAAAATTGCAACAAAGTTTGGAATCAAGAAATTAAATTATTATACAAAATTATACAAATATACCAAAAGTCATTAATCTTTCCACCTGTCTTTGCGGCTCACCAAGAATATGTATGTCAGAATTCTGGGATGTATAAATTTAAAGAACACCACATACGTTTCACTGTTTTTAAAAGCGTTTTTTAAATAACTCAGCTTGCACGTGCAAACATTTTGCTGCTCAAGAGTTATTTGTTTATGTGCCGCACCAATAAACTAATGAACCAATAAACCGAAACAAACAATAATCAGAATTATGAGAAAGCGAAAATTGACAAAAATATTTTCGAATGTTTATAAATAAATGCTTGAACTTGCTTAGCTATTTCAATAGACTAAAAGCCGAGCACCGCGGACTGCAATAATTCAAACGGTAGCTAGAAAACAACGCGATTGCCAATTTATTTTTGGGATGCGTGTGTTTTTGATGTTGAGCGCTAATAACTTGTTGTTTCGCCCGAGATCGAGAATTTTCAAATTGTTTCTTGTTTCCTTTGTGTAGCCCAGTATCGGTTTATTTATTTTTCTGTTGCTCTCGCTCGGATATTGCCAAACATCTGAACCGATCCGATCGCACTCTCCACCTATGTAGGCATTATGTAATTTTCGTTTTCGTTTGAAAAGAACTATTTTCAACACTTTTAGGGCATTAAATGGAAACGTTTTTGACGCACATCGCCGAAATTCCTTGCACTGCCCCCCAAAAAGACAACCCCAAAAACAACGAAATCCAAGGCAGACGAAAGTTCCGCGGACGCGACAGCCAGCGATTTGTTAATGTGGCTATATTTAGACGTTTGTTACAGAACGCGGCCAGCGGGTCCGTCACCTCCAAACTACCAGGTGCCACATCCCTGAGGAATGCTCGCGCAAAACTGATTGATTTCGATATGCAGATGATTTATTGAGTATACGCCGCGTGCACACCCCCGAATTCCACAAACCAGTACGTATACGCAGTGGTGTATATATAGAATAGCACTTTCGTATAGCACTGCCGCCGCCGCTGCTACAATTCTTGATGTCCGCCCGCTGGGCAACGGATATGTTAATGCGCCGATCGTCGATGTGGAACTGGCCGCTCAAGAGTTTTCGGGGGCCCATGGCGGAATAGTCAGAGAAACAACCGAAAAATGGGAACCTAAAGATCTAATGGTGCTCTTTGGTGGCGCAGACGTCGGTGGGTCTGTGCTCTCGGTCTGCTCAATTGAGCAAATCGGTCTCCTTGGCGCAGAAGTCATATGTTAATGGTTAATGCGCAAATTTTTGGCATTATGCACAGCAGACCGGGCGGAGCAAGGACGGTGATTCACACGAGTGCGCGCCGAGTGCACAGGTAAGTCAAGGAAACTATACATACGAGTATATATTTTCACTCGACAGATTTATGACTTACCACTCGAATTTGAAGGGCAGCAGATCGGGCTCATCCTCTTCGGCGCAGTCGATCTTCACGAAGAACGTGGCCCGTTCGTTGGGGATGCAGCGGATCAGGGAGCTGGAGTTCTCGCTGAACGTGATGCGAGGCGGTGGTCGGTGGCCCGTCTCGGGCACCCCATCCTCGCCAGGAGGCTCTGCAAAGTGGGTAGCACGGTGCGTTAATTATAAGCATGACTAATCGCTTTATAAATTACGATGCCGCAGGAAACCGTCCGCCAAACAAATAATCATAAATATTTGCGAAATGTCAAGAATGGCCCCGCATCCACGGGTAGACACGAGCACACATAGTTATGCCGGCTGGGAAAGCGCAAAGAGTCGCAACTTTGAAGTGAATTCGCATTCAGGATACCCTAATCAGGTTTAATATGAAATCAACTGCCGCACAACCATAATTACTCAACCTTCCCTTTCTTACCTTAAAAACAATTGACTTAAATCACCGATTTAATATAATTAAGAAGTTTTAAAATTATTATCTAAAGATATACACATAAATATTTTAGTTGCTCGTGTAGACAATTTGCGATATTTAGGGGTTACGTTTATACAATACAATTAGGTTTCCGCCGCCTAAAATTGTTTGGTTTCCGATATTTGGTTATCGGATTTTGGTTTCGGATTTGGTTTGACGATTTTTTATTTGGAATTAGCTGGTTGTTAGCCAACTAGTTTTGAAACTAACTTTATTTTATATAAAAATTAATAACACCTTGTAGCATTTCATTCATAAACTAAAGATACTACTAAACACAAATATCCCAAAATATGGAAGTCTTGCTGATTATAGATTCAAATACAATAAACACTATAATTCCTGTATCAATAATATTGTGTTTACTCTGAAAAGCTCGTTTGTCCCGTGCACATCGCCCATACCCTGCACAAACATCGAGTATCTCGAATATTCACTAAAAATAGTTCCAAATATTATTCATACACTACACGTATTTGCGAGCATGTCGAATCTTTCTGCATGGGAAGCCGTAATCAAATGTGATTTGCAAATAGTATTCAGGCAATTGGGAACGGCTCGGTCCTCGCCGGGATGCGGACGCGATAATGACACTCGACCAGCGCATATTCCAACGTACAATTATGAAAATTTCTCATACACAATTCACAATTACGTAACCGCACTGTGGCCGTACAAATGCCGATGAAGGAGGGGAAAACGGAGACGGAGCCCGTGGCTGGCCATAAAAATACATGGCCCCACAAATAGCCATTAAGTACTCTGTGTTCGGAACCGGGAATTGGGAACCGGGAGCAGAAAAAAGGAGAATCTCTCACTTTCCCGGCGCCGGGGCCCCAAGAACTGGGCACTTGGACGGACGATGCTTACCCGCGGCATTGGCTGCTGGCGATCTCTCCATGCTCGAGTCTCAGGTCTCACGTCTCACTATATAATTAGCCGAAACCGGGCCACTTTGGCATGGGACTTGCAGGACTTGCTGTGTAGGATTAGGGCGCAGTATTGTCGGATGGGTATTTTCGACGCGGCATTAACCGACAGCGATTTCTTTTTTATTTATATTTAGAATGCGCCGCACACAAACGACGGTAAAAATTTGAATTTTTCCGTTTCCGATTCACTGAAATGAAATTTTCCGCTGGTAATTACGCGTATTCGTCGGGCACAATGGATCGGAAAATGTGTAATTAGGATATATTCACATTTTCGCCCTGTGGCATTATATCAAACTGCTGGTGCTGGTGCAGCGCATATACACGTATTCCACTTCCAATTCCAATTTGAAATCCACCAGACACTCGCACATCCACACTCACACTTTGGGAACACAGTGATGTTCTATCTTTCTATATATAAACAATATGTACAACACAGCATCGGCGTTCGAATGGCGCACACCACGTCCAGCAGACACCTCCTGGATCTCCGATCGTTTTTCTCAGACTGAACCGAACTGAACTGAGCAGACAGATCACCAGCGGCAGCAGCAGCAGAAGCAGTAGACTCGCCTGTCCATGTCGGATGTCGGATAATTTTGGCTGCCCCGAGAAAGAGCAAGCTCTCCTGAGGATGATCGGAGATGCCGCGCATGTCTTCTGCTGCGGAGACTCTCACTTGATAATAAATACAAAATGTACACAAGGTATTTAGAAGGGCTCTCAGGTAAGTACACATATTCACCCGGCCACGGCAATGCATATTTAATCCTTCGCTTAGGCCTAAACACACACATACGATTTGTAGTAAATATATAGTTGACAATTGATCGAAAAATAGCAATTGCAAAATACAAAATTGCACTCAGCGGCGCAACAAGTAGCGACAACTTGTTGCCTTGTACGTTTGTTAGTCGGTTAGTATTGTTCGATTAAGCTAATCCGCATTCCGCTTGCTTCCCTCACACCGAATAGAAGTGCGAGTTGAACCTTGTGCGGCACGAAGGCTCCGTGAATGGTGAGAACCAGGCCAACGAGAAGCGTCCGAACACCGACTGGATGCTCTTGAGGCGCGATTTCTTGGCCCAGCGGGCCTCCTCCTTCTTCAGCTGTTCGATGCCCTGTTGGAGAGAGGAATGCGAGAAAGTTATCCGTACAATCTCGAGCAGAGAGAGCAAGCCAAGCACCCACCGTCTGATCGTTTAGGATAGCCGTCAGCTGAGTGGCCAGCATGATGATGGTGAATATGCCAAACATAAGGCCCTCGAAGGTGAGAAAGAGCAGCAGGAATATAGTGGCCGGCGGTGAGTACGGCGAGCAGGTGCGCCAGTCGTTTTTCACGCACTCCGCAAACTGGGTGAGCACTAGGAAGAGCGTGTGCACGGAGATCGAAGCGATATAGAACTATAAATCAACAGCCGTCAAAGAAGAGTCATTAACTGCGAGGTTAATATGGTAAAAGAGATGTACTTACGGTGAAGAGCACAAAGTACTTTTGGTTGTTCTCGCCCACGCAATTATTCACCCACGGACAGTGGTGATCCATCTTGCGGATGCAGCGCTGGCAGACGGAGCAGTGATGGGCCCGCTCCGGCTTGATGCTGCAGCACTTGGGGCACTTGTAAAACATCTGACCCTCGCGGTAGCCCATCTGCTCGATCATCTCCTTGGTGGCATTACCGCGCGGTACAGCGCCCTATAATGGAGCAGACGATAATCCGGATTCAATATATTTATAATTAAATTCAAATAGTGAACAATTTATACTAATATTTATAGGATAATTTAACACATATTTATAGGTATTTTTATATACCAAAAGTATTTAATTGGGAAAATATTGAATTTATAAGGTTTAGTTCTCTAAACTCTGCCACTATTGCCACCTATACACATAGATAGGTGAATTGAAGTACATAGTCGGAAAAGCCGACAGACTGGCCATCAGCAACTCACCGGATCCGAGAGCATTGTGCGTATGTGCGAAGCGAAGGCCAGGAAGGCGAGTGCCTGGAATATGATCATGTTGATGGTGCTGAACACGGTGTAGTTGCTGGGCAGCAGGATCAGCCGCATGACCACGAACTCGGCGAACAGGATAAGCAGCCAGGTCATGATCACGCACACAATGCCGCAGATGTCCTTGACGCACCAGGCCTTGTTTCCGCAGCAGCGGTTGTGCTGGTCAACGCCACCGAATCCTCCGCTACCGCCGGGCGACAGCGCGGAGTAGGAGTAGTTCATGGTGTCCGGATGCAGCCCACGCACAAGTGACGCATCGGCCTCGTCAATTCCGTGATAACGCCGCCGGACTGCGGATCATTAGCCAAAATGCGAAGCAAAAAAACACAACTGAAGAAATGTGCCATTCGCGTCCGCGGAGATGGTGTCAGCTGTTTGCCATTCGCCCAGGCGCTCTGGCAGGTTGAGGATAAGCAAGGTGGCGCTTGTTCATAAAATCGTTCGTTTATCTTTCAGCTTAATCCGAGCACAAATACAAATACAATACATACAACACTTAAAATAGATACAAGGAAATATGGGCCCTTATCTACAAGGTTTTCAATATCAGGTGTTATGCAGGCGTTAGCTTGGCCTTTGGTTCCAGCAGAGCCCAGAGTCCGGCCAGCGATGAAATTGCCCCCAGGAGTCCTATTGTCCGGGGCGTGAGACTCGTGTAGCCCAGGGCCGTCAGCGGAATGAAGAAGTCACACACATTCTTCACCGTGTCCACAACTATGTCTTTGTGTCCCTGCATCAGCACGTACGACTGCAGGGCAAGGCGCTTGAAGTCCTCCGGAGAATTAATGCTCGTGGGGATGCGGCAGCGTGAGATACCGCCCTTGCAGCCGGATCGATGCAGGTCCAGTACTCTCATGATCTCGTAGAAGTCCCGACACAGGTTCATGATGATCGAGAAAAGCCAATACTTGTTGGCGATGTTAGACCAGCGCTTGGCGTTCACCGCCGTCAGTCCCGTCCTGGCCAGCCAGAGGAAGTGGTCGGCAAAGAGGAACAGCGATTGCGACAGCTTGCTCAAGGTGAGCGTCACACGGATGTTAAGATCCGGATGATGAATGGTCTTCAGTGCGCCGTAGAACACATCAACGCACTTGCCAAAGCGGAGTACTGAGTTAAATTGGGATTAGCTAGGTACTTATTTAAGGGATGCATTAGAAAACTTACATTTTCGGAATGTGCTCAGGATGTATTCAACCGTCTTGAAGTTGTCCACAAGCGCTGGACTGGAATTGGCGGCTTCCAGCGAGTCCCACATTGCACGCGAAGCATACTGGATGAGTCGGGCGATCTTGTCCCGTCCGCCAGCCTGATTGTTCAACTGCACTAGTCGATCCATATTCATGTTGTGTCCGCACAGCTAGTTGTGCAGCTAAATTCAAAATTAAGCTAAATCCAAAATCCAAAGGTCGTTTGTTTAGCTGAGGGCCCCGCAGCTGATTTGCCGTTTCGCTGTGAATGGCAAGGAATTTCATTAATACGCCAGACCATGGGCGTAGTAAGAATACTTTATGGGGACGGAAATTTGTTTTAAATTATGTTATAATAAAGGAAATACAAATAAATTAATTGTTTAAGCTCTTTTCCATTAACGCATTTATGTTTACTCTTAATACAAGTTTACCTCTAAGCCCATATTTGCCATAAGTGATGACTACGTTACTCAACACTGTTGTTTCAACACCTTTTTGTTGAGTCGAAGACGTCGCCACGTAAATAGTGGTCCGATTTTAGATTTTGAAATAGCTGACACACAACTTGCAATCCCATAATGGCTGTAAGTGTAATTAGCACAGGGATGATGCCCTCAAGGATTACATAAAACCATTTGTCTACTTTCAGCCCCAGCAAAAGGGTAAACAGGGCACGAAAGGCGCCAAGCAAATCGTGGAGGAAAACAAGACTACACTGGCTTTCTACCGGAACATGGCCATTGGATGCGCTGCACCCGCGCTGCTGCTTAGTTTCCTGGTCTTTCAAGTCAGCACCACCTCAGTGGTAGGTCGTCGAAAGTCTTCTGCAATGAACTCGATTATCAGCTTCTCCCTCTTAATCAGCTTATGCACATTCTGTCGTTGCTGATCCTGGGGAGCTCCTACCAGTTTATGGCGTTCATGTCAAAGGCTAAATACTCTGAGAGCGGTGCTCTTTTGGACTCCGGCAACGACTTGAATATGGAAGGCGGCATTGCGGAGTAAGTGCATCAACTGAAGCTTTGAATAACTCTACTTACACAAGATTCTCCCCGCAGAAACGTCAAGGATCTCATCATTCTTACTTCCGGCACCCTCCTGCTGGCCCTCATCTCCAACTACTTCTGGCTGGTGCTGCTTTTGGCGCCTATCCGAGCTGGATGGATGCTCTGGGGCAGCGTTATTCAGCCATGGCTGTCGCAGCGAAACGCCCAGGACGAGAATCCCGAGGTCGACGAGAAAAAGCAAAAAAAGATGGAGCGCAAAATGCGTCGCATGAGATAGAAGCCACCTCCCTAGGTGGCTACGGGTTACGGGGTTCCTGGTTTTAATGAGATTCTACGCTTAGTTGTGTGTGCGTTTCCAAATTGTTAATTGTTCAGCAAATTAAACTGCTCGAGACAAAAGACAATCCATTGTTTTAGTTAGTCAAAGCATTTGTGCGATTTAATTGCGGTGAATTTTCAAAGACGCAAACTTTGCGAGGGAAATTGCATTTCCTCAAGGCTGCCTCCGATTTTTTGTGCATTGTATATATTCGTGTAATTGTTTATAAATAAATGTGCTTCAGTGCAGCAGGAACTAGTGCAGTGTCCGTTTCTCTTCGAGATGCTGGCAAAGGAAGCGTGGGATTTAAAGAATAAATAGTAAAGGAAGGGTGAGAAAAATAAAAGTAAGCTTTTGCAACAATTTATTCTCTTGTTGTCTAGACAATTGTGAGCATCCAAACTAAAGTATAAAAGTATCAAATAATGTTATGCCGGGTAATGGTGTGTTGCGCGGTTCGGAGCACTAGATTTCACTAGGTCTAGATTCCAAAACCCCAAAGGGCTCCGGACACGCAGCGCTTACAAAAACAACGAGGGTAATGCTGGTAACTTAAGAACTTTAAATGCAGGTTAAGTGAGAGGGTATAGGGATTTGGGGAGAGTTACATGCGCGGATAGACCGAAATGAATTCTTCCAGCCAGTGGAGCGGGTGACCTCTTTGCCTAACATCATACATCTGTGCTTAACTACAACAACTTCCGAATAATATATATGCTTGTATATACGTAAATATATATATAACATCGTCGCGGCTCCATCTACACGCCTTAGTTGTACTGCTCGGGAATGACGTATGAGATGTCGTCCCACGGATGGCGGTACAGGCCCTGTTTGAGACGTTTCTGATCCATGTAATGGCCAATAAATCCTATGCTGCGACCCAGTACGAACAGCGAGTTGATTGCGCCGACATTAATGTATTCCTGTGCTTCCTCACTGAAAGTGCATGGAGTAAGTTAGTTTCTGTTTCTAAGTTCAATACAAGTGCCGTTTCCTCACCTGGTAAATGAGCCGCTGTTACGCAGCATATCCACGAATGCGGTGGCTATCACACCGTCCACATTGAGGATAAGATTCGGTTTCTTGTTGGTGGTAATCTTCTCCACCTCCAAGGCGTATTTGAGAAGTGGACACGCAGGGAAGTTCTCCAGCACGAACTCCTTAATTATCTTCACGCGCACATCGGGGTTATTAATGGACTTTACACGGTGGCCAATACCCAGGATAAGCTTGCCTTCTTTGCGCATCTTGTTTACGAACTCCATTGGGTGCAGGTTGGTGTCGTATGCCTCAGAGAACTGTCGAGCCGATCCGTCCAGTGCTCCTCCGAATCGATCGCCCTAAAGGGTAAATCAGAGTTACAGTCTTTCTTGCAAATGTAAATCCGGATGAATTAACTTACGATAGTCAGAAGACCGCTGACGACTGAGGACACCAGGTCCTTGCCAGCACGGGCACACACAATAGTGTTGTGAGCACCAGAAACTGCGGGGCCGTGATCCGCAGTGACCATCAGGCACATCTCGAAGAACTTGCACACGTAGGACGGCAGGCAGCGCTGGAACCATAGCAGTGAGATGACACCGCCAATGCCGACGTCCTTGCTAAGGACCTCGCTGATCGGCATTCCTGCGTAGATCAGCTCCTGGCCACGCTCGTCGCAGATCGACGTCATGAATGAGGCGGGCTTGCGAATAAGACCCAGCTCGCGGGCCCACGAGTAATCCATGGGCACAGTTGGTGGCGGCACCTCCTCCTTCGGCACAACTCGACCGGTCTTAACCAACTCGCCGTAGACGTGGTGGATGAGTTCACCCAGCGTGTCGAACGAATCTGGAACATAGGCGCCGGCATCTCGAAGGCCTTTGTTCTTCGCTGTTGCCGTCTCACGGTCGGAGTTCGCACAGGATCCGGCATGACCAAACTGGACTTCCGAAGTAAACATGCTGGCGCAGGTACCAATGCACCAGGCCACCAGAGGCTTGGTAATGCGTCCGTCCTTCAGAGCGGCACACACGTCGTACTCCTCGGTTCCACCAACCTCTCCTAGAAGGACGATCAGCTTGGTCTCAGGATCGGCTTGATACCGCAAAATGTGATCCATAAAGGTGGATCCTGGGTACCGATCACCTCCAATGGCAATGCCCTCGATCACGCCGTCGGTGGCCTTTGAGATGATATTGTTCAGCTCGTTGGACATTCCACCGGAGCGCGAAACATAGGCAACACTGCCTGGACGGTAAAGTTTCGAGTGCAGAATGTTGTCCAGCATACCGCCGGTGTTGCCAATCTTAAAGCAACCGGGCTTAACGCCTCCCACAGTTGCGGGTCCAATGATTGCCACACCCTTCTTATCCGCCTCAATAATAAGCTTTCTAGTCATGTTTTCCGGAATGCCCTCAGCGATGATAGCCACAGTCCGGATCTGGGGGAAGTCGAGCACCTCTAGCGTAGACTCGTACGCACTGCGCATGGAAGCAAAGTTGACCATAACGTCGACCTCCTTATGCTTATGAATGGCGTCAGACATTTTCTTGTACACGGGAATAAGAATTTCCTTGTGACCCCAGTAGTACTTCTGCTTATGATCGCCGGTGAAGGGATATACCATTGCCACCACTGAGGGCTCATCGCGCCTGAGAAAATATGCAAATATAAGTATATGGTAGGGCGAGTCGGATACAACTATTTAAACCAGAGGTTGACCAACCTGCAAATAAAGTCAAAGTCGAGCATCGACTGCACCGCCCGCTGTTGCATGCCCCACACAATCGCCTTGGTGGTGTTGGAGAAGAACTTTCGGTTCAGACTCGATCCGTTGCGCTGAGCACCGGAGATGCCCGCGCTGTCGGCCTCATCTGCTGAGATAGGTGGTAGTTTAATCGGTTTAGCTGCGGTCGGGCTCAGAGCTATCCCAAATGGAACGAGTCGAAAAACGAGTCGAGATCGATGTCGGGAATCGATTGGATGATGATGGAGGAGCAGATAGCGAGATCAGGACGTGTAGAAGTTTGACAAACCAGAACGATACACAAACACACACATTACACGAACACGGGGTTATGAGGGATCAGACCGTGCGAAATCGGATCAGATCAAGTGCAGATCGGTTGGCCAAACGAGCATTTCAAATTTGTTGTATATTTGGTTTTGTTAATAATTTGGTGGAGGTTATGTGGATATTTTTATAATTTTTTGGTGAGTGTGGCGACAAATTTCGTTGTCGTTGTAGTCGAGGGCGAGCAATGCAAACATACAAAATACAAAGAGAGAAAAGAGAGAGATCAGATAAGTGAGGTCGATCGATGCATTGCAATTCTTAGCGGTATACAAAAAGTTCATTGTATTACAGCTAAAATGGACTAGTGAAATACCGGGTTAGCCTCACACAAACCTTTAAAACATCCAACTACGTCACAATTCATTCCTCTCTACTTACCGGAACCGGAGCCCAACGCGTCAGAGGCATCGCTGGCCGCCTTGAGATCTGCCTGGGCCTGCTGTCCACCGGGCAGCAGGAAGTTGGCCGTCGAGAACTCAACGCTTGCCGTTTGGGGAATAGGCCGCTTGCCCAGAGCCATTCCGCAAATAGCGGTCATGTGGGTCTCGGGTCCGAAAACGTGCAGTGGGATGCCCAAGGTGCTGCCAAAGTCGCGCATCTTTCGGAGACCTTCCTGATAGTTGGGTCCAGCGCGTCGCACAAAGATCGATACATTGTGTTCGACTAGCTTTGGCTGGAACTCGCGCAGGGCGGTGATGATGCCTGCGCAGATTATTAGATTTAGATCGACTGCTGATAAGATGCGGAATCAATCGCTCACCTTGGAAGGTCGCAGCCACATTGGTAAAGTTTGCAATGCCACCTCCAGTAATCAAGACTTTGCCATCGGGATGCTTAGGCGAGGAGGTCATCAGGTTAAGAATCGTCTTTGCGTACTCGTACGTCTGCTGTTCCGATGGGGCTCCACTGTATTCGCCATAATTGGCCAGCTCGGTGGCTCCACCCAAATCGCAGATGGTGTCCGAATAAATAACACTGGCGCCACCGCCCGCCACCATCGTCCAGATGCGACCGTTACGATTAAGGATTGTCAGCTTCAGGGAAGCTCCGCTCTTGGCGTCCAGGTCGGCGATGTAGGCCTCCTCGGGATATGCATCTCGACCGAATGGAGGAGGATAGTCTATGTCGCCCCATTTGGGACGGCAGATAAAATCAGCTGTCGAATCCAATTTGGCCGCCAAATCCAAGATGTACAAATTGTCGGCTATCACCACCAGAGGGTTAATCTCAAGATATGTGAAATACAGGTCTACATAGGTCGTGTACAAGGCGCTGACAAACTTGGCAATGCGCTCCTTGGTGCCAGCGTCCTTGACCTCCTTCAACAGCTTGCTCTTCACGTCGGCTAGCGACAGCGAGGAGTTCACAGGTACGTCCAACTTCACGGCCTTAGCATCCACATCCCCAATATCCACGCCACCCTGGTGGTAAAACAGAATGGTGTCTGCGGCCCGGTGCGAGTAGATGCACACATACATCTCCTCAGCCTATTGGATAAGGTATTCATGTTAAGTATATAAACACATATAAAACCACTTCAGAACTCACATCCGTATGGGGCACAAAAGGCTCGATGATAAAGTTCCTGAGCTTTCCCACGGCATTTCCGATCTTCTGGTCCTTGTTGAGGCGCTCGCCAATCCACTGCTTCACCTGCTCAAAGTTCTTCTTGACGCCAATCAGTCCCAGCTTTCCACGGCGCTTGATAAGTTGATCGGGCTTACACACCAGCGGCTGCAACAAAGGAAAGAATGGTGCTAATTAAATGTGTTCTAAATATAATTTTAAATGAAATAAGCGACAAATCGTTGAACTTGAGCCTTCTGATCTCCGCGTCAGTAAAAAAAAGCCGGTTCCAACGATCAGCATCTGTCAAAAAAGATCAGCCGATAACATCAGGGGTCGTTCCCGAGTCATTGGCAATGACAATGACAATGCCAGTGCTCGTACCCTTACCCGAGAACTTGTAGTTGTGCCCACACAAAAACACATCTCATATGCTTATTAGAAGATCGTACGAGTGTAAATTTAGCAAACAGTCCGACTGCGAAATATCATCCGAGTCGTCAGGCCATACACTTTGTCGTGTAATTAAAGCCGGAAGAACTCCCATTATTACAATCTGAGTTTTAGCACTTTCTTAAAATATTAAACTAACTAACTAAGTGAAATTATAGCAACTTCATCTTTA